AAATATCCCCAAAAGAAAGTTTAACATTCGTCAAGGTTAGCCACGAGTTGTGCTTTACGCCCAAACATCCCTCTTATCGAGGATAATCTGGTTTGACTTTATACGCGGTGTGTTCTCGAAATTTTAATCTGAGCCTCCGGAATTAGCTTCGCTGATTACGCAGCGTCCGAATTAATTCCTATGAAGGGATCGTAAACTAGCGGCGTTGACAACGCTATTAATTTGCATTTCCGGAAGATAAGTGCGAGTAAGGAGCGGGCAAAAACAAAAGGGAAAATATTCTGGAAGAAGGATGGACGATCCGGTGGAGCGTCCCAGAGATATATGGGACGCGAGCGCGACATGGGCTCGTATTAATCACGAAAGCGCGAAATGCTAATTAAAGATTCCATGGAGTTGCGTAAATTTGAGCGGTCTTAGCGACAATTCGATCATAAGTTCGCATTAAAAGTACGGACGTGCATCTGTCGCCATAAATCTGCCCGTCTATTTTAATAACGTTTTTGTTCAAACACTGCACTCAGTTTTAATATGAATTTATGCAACGCAAAAGCGAAGGTTAAATACGAGCGGGCTCAGGCGCAGCGGCGGCGACCGCGCTGATGCATCGGGGGCCAGACACCACCCCCAGTACAAAGCACACAGTCTAGTGTCAAAAAAATGATAGATTCGACTAATAAAATCTGACGGAAAACAGCTCACCACATGAATATAAGATCCGAGAAGGGCAGAATAGTAAGGGTGAGATTAATCATCACTTGAAAGAGTCATTCTTTACTCAAACTAAACTTAATCATCCAAAAAGAAAGGTTCGTCGTGGAATGACCATACGCTTGCCGTAACTTGAGGAAAAATTAATAAAAGATGAAATCATCTGACAAACTACTTGCGTTAAAATCTTACTTCTTCATTATTGTATTGTGTTTCTTTAAACTGTTGAAAAATGTTTGCACAGACGAGAATCAACAGGAACTTGGGAACAATACATATAATTTCCTTGCCTTTCAGACTTATTAGAATAGTTTAATTTTAAATGATACCGGGGTAGAGCAAGCCTCATTAAATTTTTACAGAAGAAGGACAAATGTGGTGGCGTATCTAGAACACAAGGTGACACTGTACTGACAGTCACTTTGTAATCAAGGTACTTACATCATTTTTTCTGAGTGTATTGTTTAAAAAAGTCAAAACAAGGAGTTTAATGAAAAATTCCAATCGCCTAATGGTCCTTTAAAATTATGTAATTACTTTGTGAAATAACTTGTTTTAATTGCAATTAATTATTACTATATACTGTGTTAATTATGTAATTAAACAAATAATTTAACTTTTAACGAAACAATTGCAGTGGATTTATTTATTATTCAGCAAACATTTATAAGTAATCTATCAATAATTGACTGGAGTTAATGTTAGATAACCGTTGGGGCATTAATTGCAGTTAAAAGTAATTACTGTCTGTAGTTAATTAAAGTTAGCAACACTAAACTGCATTCAAATGTAATTTTAAATTATTAAGTATATCACTCGGTTAAAATTGCAAGTAATCATAACTAATTCTGATTAAAATGTGGTATTTAAGATTAATAAAAAATTAATGACCTGACATCGTTGTTTTGCCAGTTTTAAATTAAATTGTGTTAAATAATTTTAACGTGAATCTTTTCAAAAAAATTCGTTGCAAAATATTAAAAAAAAAGATTCAACTACAATCCACAAACCTGACGCTTGAGGCGAAAGTCTGGCTTGATACAAAGGGCTTTTAACCAAACAGCGCAAACATCAAGTTAACTAATTTCAGTTTGACAGACTGAATGCAGGCGTGGTTACGACGTACGATGGAAAAACTTTCGATCATCAAGTACAGTTCAGTGTAATTTCAGATTATTAAGTAGAAAACACGGTAAAAAATTGTCACTCTTCGTAATCGGTGGCTGTTTAATTTTAAGTTAACTCAAATTGGGTTTAATAAAACATAGTCTTTAAAAGAAAACACACACTAGCAGTCTTGAGTTCTAGATGCATGTGTTGTTTCTGTTTTTATCAAGTTTAGCACACTTTGATGTCGTGTTTTAAGTTTTAAATTAAAAGTGATTGTTATTCATGAAAGAAACTTGTGTTAAACTCGGCTAGAACTTGGAGTTAGGTTTGAGTTGAGGATGAGTTTTGTGGAAATCTCAGTCACTCTAAGTCTACTGTTATAATATTAAACAGCAGTTCAAACAAGGCAACAATTGAGAAACATCTTTAATTTGTGATAGGTGATAACAATTCGCGGTGCATAAACACTTAACTTGACACTTAAACCCCCGGCATGTAAGTGTCAATCGAAAATAAACAATTTTTGTTTGGAGTTTTACAATTTTAACAATAATCTTAAATGATATTTAAAATTTCAGTAGTCAGTTCGGTGGTTCCGAGATTATTTGTGCAGTAAATTTCCAATATGTGGGCGACAGACAGGCGGAAACGGAAAATTTACATTTCATTTTCAAAATAAAACATTCGTCAAAATGACCTCCCAGCACTTCCCTTGGCTATTGTTCTAGATGTAAAAATAGCCTGCTTTTGTAGATCTGTTTGCTTCCCATTTAGGATGTGTTTTAAGCCGTTTGACACTGCATTAAATTTATTACTGGATTTATTTACTTCTACATAAAAACAGCTGAGCTAATTATTTTTTTTTTTGAAAAAATAATCTCATTGTCTCTGATTAAATCTAATTATTATAATGTGATAAAAACCAAATTTCTGCCTCAAATATATTTCCTTTGCATGTATTATGTGATAGCTACATAGATACCGCAATGAAACGTAACAACCGCTCAATCTCAAACACTGGCTTTGAATTTTTGCGTTTTCCGGTTAATTTTCCAGATTGTTTCTTAACGGCGTTAAGATTCCTCAAATTTCTTTATTAATTACGCTCTTTATTGCGTTCTCCGTTTCAATACAAACTTCTCTCCGTGATAATTTCAGAAATTCAAAGTTAACTGGAAATGCTAATTTAGTCGGCAATTTCGCTTACAATTTCCAATTTACGGAACTGCTCGCCTACACATTAAAAAAGAATAAAATATGTTGATATTTATTTTTTTATGTTACATTTAAAACAGAATAGTTTTTAAATTCGGTTTGCACTGGTTTGGTGAAAAACGTAGATTCATGTGGGTTATTTTACGTAGCGGATAAAATTTCGAATAAATTAGATATTCTGATAAAATATGAAAAATAAATGGAATCAATAATGTTGTTTTACGGAGAATTGTTGCAATTGTGGCAGAATAACAAAGTTTGCTACTCCTCCAAGCAACAATAACACTAACGTTCTTCTCAATATACTCAACAATATAAAAATTACAGAATTCATTAATGATTATTATCATAAAGGAAACAGTAGAATAATAGAGAGTGTGTTTGCATGAAATAGCAAGTTATCGACCTCTCATAAACATAAAATTTAATGGGAAAACGGTAACATATGTGTCATCCGTGATATTTTTCTAAGTGAGCCAAAAGATCTATTTTTAAATGATTTTGAATTAAACCAACATTTAAAAAATAAAAAAAATCGTAACATCTGTAAACACAACTTAACCATGATTTCGTAATAAATGAATTACTACAAAATCTGTATTACCGAACAAATGACGTTGTTTTATTATGGACACTCATTAAGTAATTGTATAAAAATACATTTTGATATAATTTTCCGTAACATTGGGCGAGCGAATAAATGAAAATTAAAATTACTTTTCGTCCATTATTTTTTGAACTTTCGTAAATCCTGTTAGGGTTTTATTCAAGAAAATAGTCTCTATCCCTGTTTGACCATCAATCTTCAAATGCATAATTGACACAAAATTATTTTAGTGTTTTTGACACTTATTTATTGAACATTGTACTTCTTTAACAATGCGCATCGCAATTGTCAATGAGATAGCACAATAAGTACAGTGTCTTATGAATATTTAAAGGAGAGCGAAAATCTAAATTTTTATCGCGCCACTGAGCAGCCACATAGTTTAACCTTATCTCAAGCATGAATGTTAAAATAGTCTTGAAAACACACGACATGACTCATTAACAGAATCACAGAAAAACTTCGAATCAAAACAAAAAATAGAACACACAAACAACAATAATAGATCAACGACACGAATAACTATTGGAAAACGTCCAAAAATAGTATTTATTATCGTCGTTATTATAAATCTTGATGATTGTTTAGCAACACACAAAAGTCTTGTTGCTACTTTTAAATCTTCAAAGTTCGTATCGGCTTAGTCTCATCGCATTCATTTTAAATTCTCATTCCCCGAGGCTTTGTCATATCTTAACATACAAAGTTCGCAAACTCGGAACCAATATCAAAAGCGGGGAAATTTTAATTGCTATTTGTAAGTTATTTAAAAAAGAAAAACGCTATTTTATTTTAGAACTAGCGAATATAAATCTCAGACACACAATACATTTGAGACTGGCAATTCGCAACCACGTCTTGCGACTTTCGAGGCGCAAATTAGAAAAATTGGGCCTGCCATAAAGTAAAATTTATATATCGTAGGTTAAAAAAGAAAAAGAAACTGGAACACATCCAAGAATAAGCTCAATAACCATAATTTTTTCCGTACATTTTCAACAAGACAGTAGTTTTTCAGGCAATTTCTTTGATTTCGAGCATTTCCATCTCCCCATGGAGAGCGGTTTCTTTACGGCCTCCATATTTTTGCAGTCCTATAATTAAACGAGCTCTTTCGATACTCGAAGTTTAGAACTCGATGTACGTACACGAGACAGTTGTCAGAGGCATTCAATACCAAGAGAAAACTTTTCAGGAGATTGATATGTTGATCCCTCACAGGGTGAAATTGAATTTTTTCACTCGAACTGTCTCCATTCAGGTAAATAAATTATCGATCCCCTGAAATTGATGTTTGTTTGCTCCTGATGTTTCGTTCCATGTTTGCATATTGCTAATTAATCTCTTTTCGTTGCAGGAAATCGCAGCCATCCTTATCAGCTTCGATCGGCACGCGGAATGGCAGAGCAAGGAGGTCAAGATCAGGTACATTAAAATGCGCCGCTTTGATAATTCCTTCCTAAGCCAAAAATAAGTCCGACGCAGCGGCGGAACTAAAAGTAACTTCAGGGCCTTCGAAATTCTGGGACCTCTCGCAATCTTTTTTCAAATTGGTCATAAATTAACAGATTTTCATTGTGAGAAATAAAGAAAGCTCATTTTTCTCTCATTGGACAATCTATGGTGACAATATGTTATCACGTTATCAGTTATCACTTTTTTTTTAATGGAACCATATCTTTTCCTTTTTTGATTTTGAAACTTGGTTTACAATTGTTTACAAAAATACCTGCAAATAAAAATAGCCATTTGGTACTTGGCTGTAACGAAAAATTACGATATTCGTCAACTCTACAGAATTCATAATAAGTACAATTACGGGCGTGAGTTACTGAACTATGTGAATATAAAAAAAAATCTAATATATGATAGATTAAATATTCTATTCTAAAAATCTTTCAAAAAACGTTCAAGTAAATGTAAACCCGCATTTTTCGTTATAATGTTGGGCCGCAATTTTTTTACTGGGCTTGGTATGTACCCACTTGGTTCCGCCACTGTTCGGACGATCTGTTCCAATGTATATTTTAGCGTTTCGATTCTCTCAACGATTATATTTAGCAATCCCATTGTAACATTTTTATCGCGTTCTAAATACGTTTCCTCCTAAGCACGGCACAATTAAATGTAAAGTTTCCTCGTAAAAATAGAATGTGCACACAAACTGCAACCAACAACTGATTTTACAGCTTTTATGTTTCCCGTGTTTCTATGACGATAAACACGGGAACCTTGGGTTAAATCCGGACGGCGCAGTTTACTTTAACACTTCTTCAATCTCAAAACGAAATTTGAAAAAAATCTCGCGGCGCGATTAAAAAACGAAAAAAGTTTTCTAATTTGTTTCGAACTCGGCACTGCATTCAACTCTGCCATGTCTGCAGTAAAGTTGAGGATTTAGAGGCAACGCTTTTCGATTTTAATTGCGATCAACTTGTAATTACAATTTTAATGCAATGTAAGTTTGTTCTTTATGGATTGTTCGGATTAATTAAAACAAGTTTAATTATGATCGGTTTATTGCCCGCACCTCTAAATTGCAAATGCAAGTTCTGTGTAACGCTAGTTTTAATCAGTTCGAGAGTTTTAGTGTAACGCAGTGATGACTTCTATCTACTGTTATTAATTAATAAATGTAGGGTTTTTTGTTAAGTACAGGAGTTACTTTGTCTGGAACTGTGTTCTTTGTTTGAAGCTGTTTATTGAAGCGTTTACTAAATAGTAAAAGAAAACGGCAAACGAAACAAACTCCACAGTTCACTTTGTAGTGACTGGTAGTTCATTATTTTAATTAGTGAAATTAGTTATAATGTACATCAAAGAATACTAACTAAAGAACGCTGTTTTAAAAGCCACAATTTTCTGTTAATAAGGAGAAATAAATCCTCTGTTTTCTTGCTGGTGACAACTGTAGCATTCACTTACAAAAACCACGAAAATGATATAAAGATTACAAAGACTGGTTAACGCGGGAAAATAATACAAAGCGGAAAAACGTCATTCTTTAAATGAACACGTCATAGAAGGGAGATTAACAAAAAGAATTTTAAAAAAGACAACAATAATATGCGACCTTTATTTCAAAAATTAAATGTGCTGTATTGTTAAGAATTGTTCTATTTTCAAGTTTCAAAATAGAAGGAAAGAACACACCAGAACAAGAGTCACAAATATTATTTTTCCGTTTAAACCATATGTGTGAATGTTGTTGAAAACTTGAATAATTTCAAGAAAACACCACAAGGGACATATACATTGCAAATCAAAATAAAAACATACCTGAAGTAGATGAGCACAGAGCCACAAAAAAATAATAAATTACTATTCGTTTGTGTATGCCCAGGTGCTGCTTTAAGACTGATATATAAATGGTCAAACACGTCCCAAAATTTGCTTATTCATCCCCACCAATAATTTGATGTCGTCATCTCAGATTTTACTATGTAAAATGTCTCATCATCCACGTCTTAAAATTTTGTGTGAAATTTTGTATTACATGTCTTTAAAAATTAATATGTATCTCAATTATTTATGGAAATTTCGGAACGCGGTTTTCACCACTGTTTTCAGCTTACAAGTCTCTACAGAAAAAAGTTTGGCGACTTCTCTTTTTTTTAAACTAGCTATATTTAAGAAACTAAAGAAGATATGCGATTATGCAGTTATATAAAGTAGAACAGAAGGATTATTTCAGTTAAATGCAGTCAGTTTAGGACAAACTAGTGTGCTGTAGGTCGGCAGTGTCTGGTAATTCTTGATTTATTCTTTGTTTAAATAATTTGTCCAAAACCTGACGTGCGTAAAGTAATTTCTTTTTAAGGTGGTGACTACGTTAGGAAACAAAATTAACTTATATATAGGCAGTAAAAAACGAATAAACTGTGAACAATTTGTTTGAAAGAATTTTTATTATAAACAAAAATTATAGGAATTTTATACGCCAGTTTATAGTTATTCAGCAATCCTGAAAATATTTAGAACTGAAAGCAATTGTCAGACATGTCGACGCTGCAAAACAGTGAAGAACCTTCAAGCAGAATTCTAAAGGTGTCATCCGTAATTGTTAAACGAAAGACTCCTCTTTTCGTCGTCGTCGATCTTATTTAGGAAAAAAGTAAATCAGTGATTTTATGACATCAGTCTTGAAGGGAAACATTACGTTGAAGTTAATAAAGCGGAAGCGACACGTCAAGTAAAACGATCAACCGAGAAAAGAGTGTCTGGGTCTCGAATTCTTCTATTTAAAATCGACTGTAACAATTTTCTTTCTGTTCTATTTGCGTTGTGTTGACGCGAATCCCTTCAAGTGTGAAATAAAATCGCATTTATTATTTAAATGTGCCTCCGACTCGGTACAGTGATTACATGGTCCAGTTGTAGTCCGCATATTTTCACAACTTTCTTGCGTATTTGTCTAACAAAATTGAAAACAAAATGAAAAATAAACACCGTTTGAAATATTTGTTTTCTGAAAGAAAGTATTCCCAAACGTACCCACGACTCGGACTTATATTACGACGTCTCAGGATATTTTTTCCTTTTCTTGGTTCTGAAAATACATGTTCCTGCTGATTTTCCTATGCAAAAAATTATCATTTCTGCAAGTTCTCTTCTAAGATTGCGTCGCACAATTCCAACAAAATTTTACTATATTTTAAGGGGGATTTGCTAAAAATGAGAAATCAAATTTCTTTTTTGTACGACCATTGCTTTTTCGATCATTTACCGTATAGGTTTCCATAGCAGTAAGTTCAGTTTACGGGTTGCTACGACTAACGACTAAGAGGCGAACGGTAAGTAAATTACTTACGTTCAGCTGAACGGTAAGTAATCATGCATTCGAGATTTTTTTTATTTTAAATTCCATGCGTGTTCGACTTCGACATTTTCGCTTTCAGAATCACTCATAATTGATATTTTAAGCAAATAAATCACTCACTAATAGTTGCGGAAAGAAAATTAACTCGAAATCAAGCCAGATCAAATCTAAATCGACAGCGGTCAAAATGGAAACTGATTTTTAAAATTGTTGTTTATATTAATCGAAACCATAGTAACAAATTTTAAATTAAAAAACGACCTTGTTGATATTTGGTATAAATTCTTTCAATTTATAAATTTGATAAAAAGACGCAAATCTTTTGATGGTCGTACAAAAAATAGTATAAGCATCACGAACCTTAAGGGGGTTTACTGGTCTCAGACAAATTGGAGACGTCGCTTCGCTCCGTCTCCAAACTTTTGCCTTCGACCAGTAAACATCCCTTACCGTTCTTAATACTTAATATACTATTTCGTTCATGCTTTTAAAAATTTTTAATTGGAAATGGAATATACTCGTAGTACCGGGTTCTATATAGCTTAATATTTTTGTCACCAGGATAATAAACGTGAAGGAGTTGCAATTTTTTAAGGCAGGGGTTTAGCTTTAATCAGATAAATATAGGCAGATTCTGTACTGAATTAACTTGCGAAGTTGTTGCTATAAACACTAGAACTATTTTCCTCTTAACAGTATATATCTAGATGTCCATTTGGAGATATTAACAATTTCACCACTCTATTAAGTAACATTTTTATGTACATAATAGCTCGGGATGCTAATATTGCCATACTAGGCAACTTTAATATTTACTTCAACAATAGTTATGTACGTAACCAGTTATAAAAAGCTTCATTTCGTCTAACGAATGTAAATGTGCTCGCGCTACACAAAATATAACGCGTGTACATACAATTTTTGTTATTAACGAATTAGTTTTAATTTTATGAAAGCTTAAAATCCAATTAACCCTACACACCAAAAGCCATTAATATCTAACATATGAATTCATATTCACGACGTGTACAAACAAAAACTACGACACAAACATATCGGATTCTGAAAATCCGTTGCATATTGAGGCAGTAGCTACTCCAGCAGTGCCTTCATGAATACCCAAAAAATATGATATAGCCGGCCAAAGTTAGTTTCTTATGAAAAATTTGCCATTTTAAAACTTCAGTCAATTTGGAAAACTGGAAAATAAGATTTACCTACCTCAAATTTATGGATTTTATATTATCCTTTGGCTCAGAACACACAGTGCTTAACAATACACACTTAAGTAAATTTGCTGATAATATTGTTGATTGCATATAAAAGTTTAGATATTTGAATATGCTTTTCTCAAGGCAATATTAATAATGGCACATCCTGAATAAATCACGGTCCATCGCACAAGCTGAACTAAGAATAAACTTTTTAATAAGATGAGTATGTGCTGGGTTTTTATTGATTATTCAAACATTGACATTGAAAGGAAACATTCTTAAACATTATTAGCGATGAAGTGCAACACTACTTCCCGTTAAAAAAAGTAAGACAAAATCATAAACAAAATGTATGAAATCAAAAAAAAAAAATCTGTTGACAAAATTCTTTCTGAGTATTTCTTGCTGTATCGTCAAGTCTACAAAACCAGAATACATGAAATAGTCAGTGATAAATTTCTCCAGCAAAACAACAACTATACCACAGGAGACTGAATTGTAATCAATCAAAATAGAGGAAACATTTAACCTTCCCAAAACTAGCAAAATATTGACAACTAATTGATATTTCAATAATAATGCCAAGGGCATTGTCAATATCCTTGGTAACTGTGATGATCTTTTCGCAGTCCTAAGAAATAATAACGGGTGTCTAATTAAGAATCTGGTCAAGAGGGCGCGTCCTATTGTATAGTTTTTTCCATATGTCGCAGACAGTTGTCATGTCTAATAAAAATCGATACAGACGACAGACAGACGGAAGCGCGAAAGCTACTTTTTCTAGGGGTCATGAAACGTCAAGAAAATATTGCACTACCTCCTTAGCTTATGAAATACTGGAGATTGGACCCTCAGTCTCCCAACTCTTAAAACGGGTGTTGGTCACTTGCGCACAGCGGTCAGTTTCCTCCCTGTGACTAATTCTCAAACAAGTCCTTGGACACTTGGTCAAAAATTGGGAATTGTAAGGGTTGTTATTACCCAGTGATGTATCCTAACGAAAGAAATTAGTAGTTCTTTTACAGAATTCCATCAGTTCCGCAGTAAGTTTAGCAGCACAGGAACCAAAAAAAAATCGAAAATTGCCTTCCTCTTCAGAATTTCTGACAGAAATTTATTCTAATGTACATATAGTAATTATATTAGTAATTTAGTTAATAATGCAATTTTCTCTTTGAAGGTATAGATTGTTTCTCCTAGTACTTATTTATTTTTAGTTGGCCAACGCCCACGTAAACTGTTAGAAAGGCAATAACTGTTTATGGTATTAATCCTTAAAATTAAAAATTGTATATTATATGCATATCTTTCTGACCACGGCACGCAACTGACCCACGCCCATTAAAACATTATTTAACTAATAAAACAAGCATGCTTTAATAATGACATTTCCCCACAAAAGGACAGTTGAATATGGAATGTCTTCTTTGATTTTTCTTTGTTATATTAATGATCTCTCTACATACTTATACAGAGTGATTCACAGTAGTTTTTAACCTAACCAAGAAAAATGGCCACTTTAAAAACCTCGACAAAGAACAAGTCCAGATACGGTAAATGAAATAACGGGTTTGGAATTAGTGGACAATAATTCATTCATGTTTGACCCCAAGAACAATTAATTGCCAAAGCAGCAGACAAATTTCATTCGTATCATTTAACATTAATCCAACAATTGAAACCCACAGATCATCCTATAATATTAGTCCTTTCCAACTTTTTTAAAGACGATCCAAATTTTAATCACCACTTTTTAGATATGGTTCTTTTTTTGAATGAAGCAAAATTTTCAAATAATGGTGAAGTTAACAAGCATAACTGTCGTTATATTTATTAGTTCCAAAACAACCCACACTTGATTACAGAAGGACATTTTCAAACAATTAATTCCACAAACATTTGGTCCTCGGGGACCAAATTATTGAGAGTTAATTTGGGCGGGAATCCATATTTAAATTTTATTAAGACTAATTTAGTATTACAACTTGAAAATGTTAATTTGAAAGTACGACAAAATTCATGGTTTCAATAGGACTTCTGCACATTATCATAGAAAGAAGTCCAGATATTGCACCTTTAGATTTCTTCTCTGGAGTACAGTTAAAGAAAGGTTTTACCAAATTCCAGTTAACAGCGTGGAATATTTGGAACATAAAATAAGATAAACTGTAGAATCAATCTCACCAGATACGAGGTAAGCGCCAAATATTCTCGGCCTAACAAAGAAAGAGACCTGATGGAAAAAAATTAAATATTTATATTTCAACATAATCTCTGTTAACTTCAATACATTCAAAACTACGTTCAACTAACAGCTCTATGCGTTTAAAAAAATTATTTGAATCTTTATCACTAAAATGATGTAGTACTGCCGTTTGCACCTCTTTATCCGTCCAAAACGTTTTCCCTGCAAGTCGTTTTTTATCTTAGAGAACAGTTAATAATCGTTCGAAGCTAAGTCAGTACTGTAGGGTGGATGATCAAGTTACTCGAAGTCACAGGCCCCTATAGCAGCTTGAGAAAGACATGCGGTATGAACGAGCGCATTTTCATGAAGCAATCGAACGCCTCTTGTTAATTTTCTCGGCCTTTTTTCCCAAATACGGTCTCTTAATTTATGCAGTAAGTAAGCATTATATGTAGCGTTGACAGTGGTATTTCATCCTTTAAAATTAATCAACAACATGCCTTTACAGTCCCAAAAAATTGTGGCCATGATTTTTTTGGAAGATTGGTTCGTCTTCAAGGGTTTCTTACCCCATGCGAAATAACTGTGATCATTTTTTTTAGTAAAATGTGAAGGACAAGCTTCAGCAAACACAAAAACCATCCTGTCCTTAATACCCTTTAGAGCAATTCCATCTTTTGATAAGAATTTTATTGCCGTTCGATTTTCAATTTTAAACAGGCATGATGAGTCCATAATTTTTCAAATGTTACTCCTCAAATGTATCAAAACTAATGGGCAGTGGGGCTTGAAATTTTACACACATACTGCGGGGACCTTCTAGTCTTTTATGAGTTGTACAAATTTCCCGACGAGCAATCGCAAATATATCAGGCCGAGAATATTTGGCGCTTACCTCGTATTTTAATGCGGGTGAAAATGTTATTTTGGGATAGAACTGTAGCATGTGGAAAAAATGGTGGTCAGCATTTTGAGCAGTTGTTACATTTGAAAAAGTCATGTTCAAACTTAAGATAATGTTCGAGATAAATAATTTTTCATAATGAAATAAATACATCTACGAATTCTTTGGAAATGTATTCTGGGCCAATTTTGTCGGGCTACTCGTTTTAGAAACCATCTAGATATATTAATCATTATGTAGACGCACTGTTAATTATTTCGTCATCAAGTTTTTTAATAAATTGCCTGATACAGAAATTGCAATTAGACCACCATTTGGAAATTTTTCAAAAACGATTACTTAAAAGTATACACCTACTAAAAGCATATACTCGACTCCTTGATGAGCTGATAACTTGTTTTAATTGTCTTGCGAGTATAAATGTGTATGTTAAATTTTAATTTGAATATTAAGGTATCTCTGACTTTCCTAAAAATTATATTGTTGTCACTAATAATACAAACTACACTATTGTTCTTATTTTGCAATTTTCGTATTTCAGACCGAAAAGCGGTTCCATGCTCTTGTACAGCCGAAAGAAAGTGAGGTATCGTAGAGACGGCTACTGCTGGAAGAAGCGGAAAGACGGCAAGACAACTCGCGAGGATCACATGAAGCTGAAAGTGCAAGGGACCGAGGTAGGTACAAACATGTCGCGCGTTTTTAAAAGAAATTTAATAATGTCGCGACCTCCAAGATATAACGTCGCGAAAAACCTTAATCATATCGAAAGAAATGAGTTTCCTGCGGATCGGGGGCAGTGATGTGTAAACAACAAAATTGGAGCCAGATCGTGGATGAAAAGCTCCAATTTCTACATGCTCCTTCGGCGGGGGCTTTAAAAAGCGTCAGATTCGTCATTAATTAGACCACCGATAATCTCGAACAAAAGCTCACTCTCCAAAATGTCTGGATTGAAAGCTTTAGAGCTTTTGCGAGATCTCACTGCTGGTGCGATTCACTCTTTCGAATTAAACAAAATTAAAGGACGTACACGTTTTATCTTGTTCGATCTTTGTCGGAAACTGTGGAAAGATGCACATGTGTTTTGGAACCTTTTTAGTGTCGGTAAATGCTTTAATTCTGTTTAATTAAATTGTGCTGCCTTTGTTTAACTTAAGCGGAATATTGTGTTACTCCGTACTTAGGATGTATTTGTTTTGTTTACTGACAATTAGTGCAACGTATTGTGTTTTGGGTATGAATGGGGCTTACAATGGCATTCATATATTTTGAAGAATTTTTCAATGAATTCCACCTTCGCTGATATAACATCCGAAAATCTACATATTGATGTTTTCACAATCCGCTTGATAACCTAATAATAACGCATTGATTTTGTGAATTAATCTCATTCATTTGCATATTAGCTATAGTTAAGTTAAATGAAATTCTGGGATTTATCATACAAAGGTTTGCGTACATAGTTTGAAGCTTTATGTAAATGCTCACGTGGCGATTTTGAAAGTATGGCGTTGAATAAATATCTCGTATCGTTGGATTGACATTTCTTAATATAGACTGGTTACCCTACACGATATTTGAAAAAAAAATGTTTGCGATGTGGTCACAGTCTGGTGATATCCAGACTCAAGTGGTTATTCAGAATAGATGTAGTGTACCTGTAAATATAAAAAAAATACTGCCATTTTAGAAATACTAGTTAGCAAAATGTTCATACTGTTAAAAATTCTATTTCTAAAACATCTATGACAAAGTATATCAAAATTCGTGTGTGTATTTGTTCCAATTTTTTTATGGCCCTTGTCTCTAAATTTTTAAATGTCTTCATTTCAACTAACCGAAACTTTTTAATCATCCCGATTTATATTTTTTATACGTATCTTTTGTAACTTTCTGCATCGCATTTTTTCTTTCATTGTACAATTCGTAACTTTTTATTCATAACTGCGATGCTGTTTTGGAGCTTCTTCTTTGTTGCACATTTCTCTCTATAGCATAATTTTTGCAGAGAAAATAATCGTCATCTGTTCGAATGTGGCAATAATTCACTTCCCTTTTTCCAAGTGGGATAAGTGAAGACATCTCTATTTCCACCGCTACAATATTAAAAACTTTTAATTGAAGTATGCATTTTTCAGGTGGAAATCTTGTGTCGGCCATGCTCATGTAAAATGCATAAGTGTAGTAGGTCGGAACCGCGAGGGCCTTAAAGAGATATATTGCACCTGGTTAATTCATTCGCGGCCATTAAACGCGGGTTAAAAAACCATAAACATTTTTACGCTCCTCAGATGAGCTCCTTCTGTTTTGTACCACTTTTTATCCTCTTAATTATACCTCCAGGCCGCGCCGAAATCTTTATAATTTAATGGCGGATTAATTTTTTCGTAGTGGAATTTAATTAACCCAAATATTTGACCGTATTTCAGGCGCGAACGCCCTTCCGACGCCGTTATTTATTAAAATCCGGACGCAACCACTTCGGGAAGCGGACTTGAGAATTTTCGAGCCCGAAGGAAAATAGTGGGCGGAATTTCAACGTTAGTTTAAATTTTTAACACTCTAATGGCCAGCGAAATGATTAAAAATAGTCAACATCGGCCACTTCTTAAAATACACTGACATTCTAAATAAAGGGAAGGGGCATTTTTACTTCCCGATCCTAAGCGAAGGAAATATTGTAATGGAATCTATCGGCCGAATTACCACTTTCAAATTTTCTCGACGTGTCATGACCTCACGAAGTACGAAAAAAGTGGTTTCCCGTTTCCGTTTGTCTGTCTGTTTGTCTGTCTATATCCATTTTTATTAGACAAGTAATCTCCGAAACTACTGGACCGATTGTTGTCAAATTTTGTGTGTATTAGGAATATCATGCAGATGGTTACATACTAACTAAAAATTTAACTAATCGTCCCCACCACCAATGGGATGACGTCATCTCCAAAATTTATAATATTTTTTTTTTATAAAATAAGATACTGCTGCACTTGTGTGTGAATCCGGGCCGAATTTTCACCCTAGACATTCAGAATTTTTGGAAAAAATTTAAAACTGGATAACAATATTTTGCAATATCACTTTGAAACTGCAAAACCGAATGCTCTGAAATGTTAAAATCGTAAATATTTTAGGTTTATCGTAATGATGGTAATTCGTTAAGCAGAATTTATTCGTTTGTCCCCTCCCAAAACATGATGACGTTATCTCAAAATTTTGCCAAATAAATCCTGTCCAAAATGTAAAAAATATGATGAGTATATACTTGTGATTTATCATTCCATTAAAAGTTTATACATTTCTTATACAGGTGACTCGTAAAAATTAAAAAAAAAAGAGGCAATTTATTTTATTGGTTAAATCGGGAACAGCTTACTCCGTTTTCCCGAAAATTTGGAAATACAATACTGTTATCATTAGTATTACACTGCACCTATCCAAGGAGATATAAGTGTATTTACAAAAATGTTGATGACGTCAGATTTACTTTAATGTTACTTACATATCTTTATTTTAACTTATGAGCGTTATAAAAAAATGAAATTCGCATAATCAAATTTTATAATTTTTCAAAAAAGCTGGATGTTTTATTGTATTTCAGGAGCCAGGGAAGTTCTGTAGAAATAACCTTCGACCATTTTTTTTAATATGGTGATTTACCATATATGAGCGTTGTCTGCTAAATTCTAGGCAAAAACTCTTTAGTGACAAGTATATACGTGTCAAATATGTGCAACTTGTTAATATTTCATTTTTGATTAACCATATACATATAATTTGTTTCACAGATGGAAGCACATTCAAACTCTTAATTATTTCATTTCTATGATAGTAGGCGCCAGTCTCGTTCAATAGTTATAAAATTTAGAAACAAGGGTATCTCAGTTGTTATACAAAATAAATCTAAACAATGTCAATAACGTTTTATGAGAATCTACGCTTCGGCCACGCTCTAACAAAAACAATGGCAATATTTTAAAAGTTTGAAGATAGAAATGGGTCAAAAGACCGGTGCGGCCGTTCTAGTGTTTTAAATACGGATCTGAACACAAATATTAAGAGCGAAAGTTTTCGAGAGAACGCTTTTTTTCCTGCCCCTGAGGCAAACCGCGAATTCAACCCTCCCTCATTGTGGGACACTAAATTCGGCAAGGCCGGTTCCGAACACGGTCAAGAAGTCGAGGAAGCGTGTCGGGGGCGGAATTCTAAAGAGCACGACAAATTCGGGTTGTGGATGGGGCGGAATCCTCCGTCTTCCGTAAACAAGAATCGATTTAAAAATAAAAGGAGCCCACAACGTTTGCGTCTTGTTCGAAATGGGGGAAGGAAAATGTTTTGGAAGGTATAAAACGAAATTATGAATGATACATTTTTTGCTCGGGGACAAGAGGATTTACATAACGGAGGTGGCCTCCAGAAAAAACAAATTTAATTTCGACGCATTCAGGGAAATTTCTAAGTATGGGACGTCCAATGAATTGTCGAGATACGTTTGAAAAACTGCCGCGTTATGTACATAGAACTTTCTTCGCATTTGAAACACAACTATTGCGCCCTCAGCTTTCTTCAGGAAGAATTTACTTAAGACATAATTATATGTTAAACACGTTTGTTGAACGCTCTGTGATCTATATTTATGTTAGTGCATTACAAAAATTTCCAAAAAATCTGGGCGCTGTCTCCCACATACAATTTTTGATAATTAATGGTATATTAGATTATGTTTAATAATAATAATTTTACAAACAAAAAATGTTCATCAAATATCACAGTAAAAGAAAACAAATTCACGGGTTTTAAACTGTGTCATGTCAGTTTATAAGTGCAACTATCTAAAAATCGTAAATAGTTACAAATTGATTTTTAATAACTAGAAGTAGTTGCTAATAAATAATAATCGAACAAACCGTAATATTAGCTCGTATACCTAGCTGGTAATCTAATTCAAAATATTTTGGAATAAATTTAAGCAAAGATGCAAAAAGTTTCCAAAAAACTGAACAACTAATTCATATTTTTTATTCATATAGCTACTATACAAAAATGGTGGCTTGGAAAGTTCAAGATGTTGAAAATGTTGGAATTGATTAAAAGCCGATGCAATCGGTGTTTTAGAGTACAACTACACCAATTACATCGTTTGTTGACGTTGGACTACAATATGTTGTGACTGAAAATATTGAAACGTTTAGGCGTAAACTATGTTTAGAGTAAAGTAAATTCAACAAACTTTATCCAAGCTTTTATGGGTATTATGTTTATGTGCATAGAGTGTACTCGTATCTGAAGGCAAAAGTACGTATTTCTTTTTGCATATCGTATACGAACTTGAAAAGTATGCTTTTCTATTTTTGTCTTCACTTGTATTTCAGAGAATCGTACTTTTCTCTTTTCGCTGTTGCCTACAATACAAACATAGAAAATGAAAATAAAAATCAACCTTATAATATAACAGCGAAAAAGATAATTACTGTTCTGGAAAATAATATTACTTGAAGCCCGTAAGTCCAGTGGGCAATTTTCCGACCGTATTAAGTACTCCTGGAATTTGTTTCATTCCTATTATTAAATGTCACTTTGGTTTCTCGTCATACACAATGTATCTTTTTGACAATTTACAGGTTTCACATTAGTTCTGCTATTTTAAATTTACACACTTACCATTTGCTTATAACCAGAGAGCGGATTTCTGCGGGTAACCGCCAGTGCAGTGATGCTCCTAAACCTCGCGTCGGAGCAATTAACCTTCAGATGGCTAACTGTAGGGTAGTTTTTCCTTCAAATTCACACATGTCCTGCGACGGTCAAACGACACATAGATCATCGCATTGAAAACTCAATTTTGTGAAGGAAAATATTGAAAGAACAGTGCAGCGAGGACGCGAGTGTATGAGCGACTTGAAGATTGCCCTCACGGGTCCGGGCTCTGGTTATAACTGTATCATCTATTTTCATATTTTAAATATTTTTTCTCGGCAGACTACTGAAAAGACTACAATACATAAAAATGCAAATACGTATTTAATGATATTACTTTTCTTCCAAAAACTTTTTGCTTTAGAGACTCTGTTAAATCTAAAAACTTGCTAATTACAGGGTATTTTTTTCGTTCTTGTAGCTTTACAGATTGAATATTGACTCAAAATGGTATAAGATTCAATACGTTTCGATTTTTCACATAAGTATCCAAGAACATCCTCATTTATTCTTTTTAACATAATCTCATGGACAAAGTTAACGCGCAACTCTGTTAAACAACTATAATTTTTCTCATTTCAAAAATCGAAAAACCATTGAATTAACAAACTTGGTACACTTTATCGTGGCACTCACTCACGCCTTGCCAAGCTGTGGTAGATGAGGGTGTACGACTTTTTGCTGGCATTCCGCAAGTGCTCAATGGAATTTAAATCGGGACTATTAGCTGACCAGTTAAAAACATATATCTACACTTAGACTCACTCATCAGTCTCGTCTGAGAATAAAACACTCTGCTCGTCATCAATAGTCCTTTTGGAAATTTTTATTCCCTGGTAGGAGTGATTTTTCTTGATATTCTCTTGCTCAATTCTGATTCTTGTAAACGTATTCTTACTCTTCAGGACCATATTACGACATTCCAAATAATTGCGAGCTCATTTTGGAACACATTATTTGTGAGTCCGATTTCTGAAAGCGGTAGAGTGTTACTTACGGGCTGCATATAAATTTGTTGCCATCTTAAAGTTCGCAAGAGAGGAGACTAAAATTTTAGGGAATACAAATATAACGTTCGAAGTATACGTCTAGCTTGATTTCGTAACTAAATAAATACAAGTTGTGTAAGAAATGCGGTTTAGGACAATGTTACTAAGTATGGTAAAGATATTACCAATTTATGGACCGTCGCCAAAATTATTAAAATTACACAATATGTAGTTTTTAAAAATCAATACAGCAATAAAAAACACAAAGAGGAAACGCCTACTTGCCAACGATTGGACAACGACTATCTTCACACCCGAAGACAAATAGTTCGATTTTCTCAAATACTGAGATAAAATATATCATTTGTCGATTTCTATTAAACACAACTCTTGATTAACTCTTTTTTGTGTGATTCGCAGAAACGTACAAAGGCGACTAAAAACGATTTTCTTTCTCGGAATACCAGGTCCTTCTTCATAGAACTAGTCCTAACTATTGTAAACTTTTCTTATTCAAGCTTATAGGACCGCACATTAAGAACACAGTTTATCAGTTGAATTCGAAAGCGTTCATGAGATCATAACATTTCATAGTAGCAACAGGTGTTCAACAACTTGAAACGTAAGGCATGTTTTTAATACATCTTTTTTTAAATTCACAATTAAACCTGACGTAGCTAATCTTGTTCAATTTAGCAAGAATTATTTAAATCAAGTTCTCATTTTGAAAAAGTACTTTTGTGATGTTTTTGCAGAAGAACACTTGTATTCATAAGTGATAATTATATTTGAGCTTACGTTCACCTATTATACGCTTTTTCACTAATAATTTTGTTATATGTGTACCAACTGACTTTTAATGTGATTTCGCACTCTACCCCTTCAGACAGGTGACGCTTCGTCTGCACCTTGAAATTTAAAATAAAAGAATCCCCGTTTGTGTCTTATTCAAAACGGGGCCAGAAACACGCCTTAAAACATAAAACGAAATTATTAGTTCTCGCATTGCACGCCTTACTTGCCTCGTCCTTCCTTCGCAACAATAGAATCTAATATAGCACATATGGAGTTTAGTAATAAGGCAGTTTAAATTCATACAGCCCCGACCCAGCCGACTTTGATTAAATCACACTGTCATGTCACGCGCTAAACACAAAAAAAGCCATCGGCTTTTTACGAATCTCCGGGTTTAATCTCGAATTGTATCGCCATAATAACCGAAAGGTCTCCTTTTATTAATTGGAAGCGCGTGTCAAACTTGACGTACTGTTTGTTATTGCCTTTGGGATATGAAGGTAAAAAAAATATACGCCGACATACGAAAATCTTCGTTTAATTAATCAATGGGCAGACACCCTACGCATTCATACGCCACTTTTAATATCGCCCCTATATGATGAATGGATTCCATTAGGAACGTTTGTCAACGCCAGAACCGTAATAGAATATTCGAGATCCAAGGTGAAGAAGTCTTCGTATTTTTTGTCCATTTAAAAGAAAAAGAGTTAATATTTTAACCAAGTAGATTCTCGGCCGGGGACTTCCCTGGAGCCGTACTAAAATGTACGTAAATAATCTCCGCACTTTCTTATGCACTCTTTTTTGATCGCAAAACAGCTTATATTTTAAGTTCTGTTCATAGCACCTTTCTGAAATTTCGCAAATAATTAAAATAAATTGAGTTATGCATAGGCTGTTTTTTTGTTCTTGTTCGAATGTACGACAGCGATATTAAGAAAGCCTACAACATTCCTCTATTTGGACATAGAAATAGTGACTTGGATGTCCACACAAAGAAGTTTTCACTCTAATTATGTTTTAATTAATACACTTTATCTTTCTGTTGCCACAGCCATTCGACTGTTGCCATTGGAAAACGAAAATTATAACACAAGTTCAGACGTAACGACAGATAATCGCAAAAAATTGCGAGACTCGCGTATTCAACAGATCCAAAATGTGAACAGGATTCATTAAGCACGATATGACATCGTAGAAAGAAAGAAATGTTGACCTAACGCAGTGACATATATCATTTAGTCTAGTTTCGGCAAGCTCTTTAATTATTTTAAAATTTCAAATTACAAAGTAAATCCTTCCATTACGGCCCTGGTGCGGCCGTCGCTCGGAGTGTGTCTCTCACATATTTCATTGTCATTTATAAAATGTATCAAGCGTAACTTTACGGCACGTCATAAATGCCTTAATGATTTTTTCCGGTAGATTGTGTAATTTAATTGCGGCAATTACCATAAGCCGACGCTTTTTTCTTTGCCGTTTAACTCGATCTACACGTTTCGTTCAGTCGGAGCTTTGGAGCGGGAAAACAGCTGTTTTGTTAACGTTTCAACGATTGTGGCTCTATTATTACGGACCAATCAACGAAATTTTCGGATCTTCTCGAATAACGCACGGTTGATCCTTTTGATATCGGCAGATCCCGTTGCTATTGTCGCCGAACTCTGAACGACCAAACAAAAAGTGCAGTTATTGGCGGAGGTGCTTTAGGCAGATGTTGTGTGGATTGGGGATTGTCAACAGCAATAAAATTATAGTAAAAGGAAGAGGTTCGATGTTGTCTGACGAACGCGCACGCACACAGACACGCACGCACTAGATGATTAATGATTATTCACCACATTATTAAAAGTTCAAAGTCTCACAATTCAACAGGGTAATCGTGCTAATTTTTAACACATTTACTGAGAAAGAAGTTATTCTTGTTAATATAGCACATATCTCGTTATGTGATTCTGTTGTGCGAAGGGGACATGTGACACCCGTTAAGTATTTTATTATCGATAAGGTAAAATACATTATTAAAAAATATTTGAGGCTGCATGAATAAAAAAAAATTACTTAAACCAAGCTTTTACATTGGTAAATTTTATTTGTTTTTAAATATGTATAACGCAATTACAAGGAACTGATGAAAAAAATTGGTCCAAGTAGACTTTAGAGTAATAGACAGCAAATCTTCCATACTCTAGATAAATTATAAAACTTGATTCTGCGACTTTTATTATAATAACCCCTATAAGTTAAAATAATAAGCTGTTGTCAGTCCCTATTATTTACAATACCTACTTCCTGAGCTGAAATATCTATAAAGATTGTCAACGACAGTTCAAAACAGTTTAAAAGACCTGGTTAATCAGCTTTTCGTTACAATTTTTCATGCTGTACTTCTTCATACTTATCTTAACGTCAAACCTAATGGCTAATTGTTAAGTTAATTTTGCGCGCCCAAACTCTGAAAACGCCCACAAAACTAAAACAGCGTAGTTAAACTTAATATCTTCATAACAAAAACTTAATGAGATCGGCTAATAATGCCTTCGTCATACATGCGCAAGTACTTTCCTCGATCCATTTCCTCGAAACTCATTTCTTATTAAACAAGTTTTCTAAACTTTAAGAACAGATAAAAGTGTTCAGTTTTAAAATCCGGACGTTTTACGGGATTAGTTTTTTTAACCCGATTAATATAATCTCTCGTTTGTTTCAGTGCATCTACGGCTGCTACGTTCATTCGGCGATATTGCCAACGTTTCATCGGCGGTGTTATTGGCTTCTTCAGGTAGTTGTAAATCCATCAAGCCGCCTCCTCTAACTTCCAGCTGTTTCAGAACCCGGACATAGTTCTAGTCCATTATTTGAACGTTCCATATCCGGACGACAACAAACTGGCCGTGATAACCCCAAGTTTGGCCCTCTGGGCTGACAAGAAGGAGTGGACTAAAGATGAACTGGTCTCTCAACTCAAGCCGATGTTTTTCAGCGAAGACGAGCCTGACTTAAACAACGAATTAGAAATATCGGTAATTAGCAAGTCGTGAAATCGCAGTGTAAGGTCTTAGTAGAATTTTAAATTGCAGACTGCTGAAACCGTAGAAGCTATAGTTAGTCAATTAATGGAAAAACAACGCGTGGCCCGCCAAGCCGCTTTAGTCAAACAGTTAGAATGCGGTTGTCCCGATTCGACGTGTGCCGATGGCAAAAGCTGCTCGCACCCGATGCGAAGGATAACTTCTGCGAAAGATGTCGCTTCGCCTTTGCCCAGCTCCAGTTCGAATTCCAGACCTCCGAGCAGCGCCGATAATAATAATCAAGTTTCTTCGACTACCGGTTCGGGATCTATGCTCTTGACTAATAATAATTCTCCAAGGGTTTATTCGAGGGAGCCGAGGAACCATCAGACCGGGGGTAATTGTTCATCTAGCTCAGGGAACACGCCACCTTTGGTGTTGAGTCTGAGTCAGATTCAAGGAGGCGGAGGTCTTCTTATTCTGAACAGCAATTCCAGTAGTTCTCCTAATAATAGTAACCATCAGAATCTGGTAACGCCGGTTTCTGTGGCTAACTTCGTGTGCAATACAAATAGAGGAATGAAGAACGAGGCGAGGAACGGTCATTTGGTTTTGAAGCAAGAAGTCATGGACACAAATCCGTCTTCTTGTTGTCACCCTTCTTCCAAACAAGACAACAAAGCCAACCAAAGAGAAACTAAAATGGAGGTTAACGAAAACATGAGACAATCAGTATTTGATAGCATTTCGTACAGCAGACATCAGCAGCAGCAGCACCAGACTGAGGTAGTAATGTCAAGCGCCCCTTCCACTCCATCCAAACACATGGACACGAGCCATGAAGAAGTGATAGACGACTACAAGCATCAGAACTTCTGTGGTGATACAGTGGTTCTTTTGGGAACTGATTCTAGTGGATCTTTAGTTAGCAAAAGCGACGGTTCTTCCATTATCAACGGCGGGTTTTTCAACGAAACCCTCGACTTATCTCAAGAGGACATCCAGAGAACCCTCTCCGCCAACATGCCTCTGTGTTCAACCGAATTAGACACACACCAACGGCACAATTCCGAAACCAACACCACCAACCAGAGCAAGGTCCAGACCGAGCAGCAGAACATGACCCAGGAGATCAACCCGATGGACTTCATCGACAGTTGCGACGTCGTGGTGTCGCCGACCCACGTTGTCGACGACGACGTCTTCGTCAACCTCGACGCCTTCGATATGCTGGGGGAGTTCCCCGACCTGGAGGCGCTCGACTCTGGGCAAGCTGCACTCCTAGATGTCAATCCGTCCGGCGGCCACAGGCACGAGAAGAATCACAGCGAGCAGACTTCCAACAACAACTCGATGGAGGGATCCGCGAAGATCACCGATTACTCTCCGGAGTGGGCCTATCCGGAAGGAGGCGTGAAGGTGTTGGTGACGGGACCGTGGCACTCATCGGGTCCTTACACGGTACTTTTCGATACATTCCCTGTGCCCACGACTTTGGTTCAAAGCGGGGTTTTACGTTGCTACTGTCCAGGTTTGTTGTTTTATGACAGTAAGCTCGGATTACAAAGGGATCGATTTTACAGCTCATGAAGCCGGACTGGCGACACTTCAAGTAGCGTGTGATGGTTATGTGATTTCCAATTCTGTGATATTCGAATACAAGTTACCACCCAGGGAAGAGCAGGTCGCTGCTCCTGAACCCAAAATCGAAAGGTCGAATGACAATTTACTTAAGTTTACGCTTTTACAAAGGTTAGAGGCCATGGATGACAGACTGCAGATCAAACAAGAACCGACCGACGGCTCTGACTGCGTAAGATTTATTCCCCAATTTTGTTGTAAGATCGCGAGTGGGCGGAAACTTTCAGCATCTCCCTATTAAGGCGGTATTTTTAACAACAAAAAATTGAATAAATGAGTTCACGACAACTTTTTTCCGGTATGATAGACTTTTTAAACGAAACGGATTAAGAGGGAAGCCATTCACCAACATTTCGCTAGATAATAATGTTTGTATTTGTTTTATGATGTGGAAAATATTTTTTTTTTTTACATATTTTCCAAAAATATAATTGCAAAACGATTTAACTATATTTGTTAAAAGTTTTAAAAATACATTCATTTTATACATTGCGCGTGTTCCAGTTTAAGTATTCGAATTTACGTTCTCAATTGTTTGAAAAGATGTAAGACTGAAATTTAGAAAGATTAATTAACACCACGAAATCTATGAGCATTACACCGCCTTTGCTTTAATTATAGTTTAATATATTTATGGTAATACTATGGCGGTTTTAAAAGTTAGATCTACCACTTTAAATTTCCCCGACTATACCAGTAATTCAGTAGTGGGGTGGCCTTTAACTCCGCTCACACCATCCCTTCTGAAACTCCACGCCAGCGGTCCCGATTCCTCTTAAAGAGTGGACAAAACCGTAGTAATTTTATTGTTCGAATTTAACGGATTCAAGGTAAATTTATTCGGCGTTTAAAATGGCGCCAGCGAGTTAATAAATGAAACGTCACGCACGTCACAAATCGAGTATAGTCTCGCATTTAACAAAGCTTAAACCTCTCTAGAGTAGTAAAAATCGGAAAACCATTACACAACAAAGCCGTGATTATCCCTGTTTCCCTTTGTTGTTGTAAGCAACCCTTCCTTTGTGCCGTAGGTGGAGGATACGGCTCTCTTCTCCCAACCGAACTTTGAAGACCGCCTCGTCACCTTTTGTCAGAACATGACTTCCCGGATATGGAGCCACGGCGAAGAATTGAGCGTTTCATGGTTCGCAAGCCACAGAGGCATGACTCTATTACACTTAGCGGCGTCCTTAGGTTACTCCCGTTTGGTGTGCGCCATGCTTCATTGGCGTGCGGAAAACTCGTCCTTATTATTAGAAACCGAAGTCGACGCTCTGAGCCAGGACGAAGACGGTTACACTCCATTAGTAAGAAAATATCGATTCCGCTTCTGTATCTCTTATTAATTTCCGCACTCTAGATGTGGGCATGTGCCCGCGGCCACACAGAAACGGCAATTATGTTGTACAAATGGAACCACACGGCGCTCAACATGAAGAATACGTCCAATCAAACGGCGTTGGAGTGCGCCAAAAACAACAGTCATCACGAACTAGTGAAAGAACTCGAAAAGCTCGAGCTGAGGCGCGACAAGGCTAATATGATGTTGCATTCCTCGAACAGCTTTTGCACAGAGTCCCCGACGGTCATCTCGCCGGCGAGCTCGGTGGCATCGCTAGCTTCGATCGCCTCCACGAGCAAATCGCACGACGGAGTGTTCCTGAGACCTGGAGCCGTCACCAGGAGCGAGTCCCAGAAGTACAAGATGCTTAACATCGACCTCGATTCCGACTCGAACATCATCGGCAGCAACAAGATGTTGGGTTCGATGCCGAGCCCGCTACTGTCGGACTCTTCGGCGAGCACGAGAGGTAGCAACGGGCAGAAGCTTATCAAAAGGCCTTCTATCGACAGCGGCATCCACATGAGCTGCGGGTCAGAGTCGTCGAAGTCGAAGAGCTCCCGGTTGTTCAGCTCGCCCAGGCAGTCCAAGTGAGTATTGCCTTAATTGGTCAATTAACCAAAATAGGGGAAGAGTGTCTGAGATAGGATGATCATTGACTCAGTCAACCTGAACTTCCTTATATTTGTAACTCGCGTCGCACTACTAAGATCTCTGTTAATAATAATGGACATTCAATCACATTTTCTTATTGTTTTGTACGTGGAATGAATAGCAATCGGAACATTGATTTTTCACAAAAATTAAAAAGCAACAAAACCTAGTTGGATTTCACGTTTTTTAGGAATTATAACGCAATAACTCGGAAGTTTATAGCGTTACTGATTTTTTAATCGGAAAGCATAAATGTGAGAGATATTAATAACATTACATAAATAAATATCATACATTTTTCTTTCTGGATGTGTGGCAGAATGGAAAAAATATATTGCACATAACTATTGAATTGATAACAGCCATTTCATCAAAACGACAGCTCGAATAATCTAATCCAAACTTTCCCGTTTTAACAGTTGTTCAATTAAATTCAGTTAATTTCAGGCTCGAACTACCTTTGTACGTTAATTAGACATTACACTTATTTTCATTTGACGAATTCTGACAGCACGACGTACTCTCTTTAAAACAACATTTAGAAAACAAAAACTCGAAAATTCATTTTTATATCCAAGCTGATAAAAAGTGACGTATATGCTCGATGGTACGTTGTTAAGAAGACTCTGAAGAACTCGAAAAAAAAATGGTATTGTTGTTGTATATTATTTAACATGTCATTAAATTTGGCTTTCACTGCATATCTATATCTCTAAAATTTTCATTTTTGTATTTATACAGTTTTTGTAAACTTTTTGATATTTTTTCGTTTTAATAACAATAATACTAAATTTAAAAAGTGGAAGAGTGGTAATAATTTCAGAGTATTTATTTTGAAAAAAAAACGTAACATAGACTCTTTTTAAAAATTTGCTGAATTTGCTACTTTGAACTGGTTTTTCTCACAAAACGGTCAGCCAAATGTCTTTTGTAAATCAAAACTGAATAATTAATCTTAAATTAATTCGAGAACTTTAACAGCGCTGGAATACCTAACTGTGCTTAATCACCAGTTGTACCAATAAAAATACACATTGAAACAATGAATCCGATCAATAGAAGAACAAAAATTATTTTTGTTATTTTCAGTTACGTGCTGTGGTGAACATCGAATGCAAATTTAATATCAAAAATTATCTTTCGATGAAGCAAATTTATGCTGAGACTATTAGCAACCACCAACTAACAATAACTCTGGAGCTTCATCAGTGAGTAGATCAACACAATTAACTAGACATTGTTGGTTAGCTAATTTTGCAATCTTCACTTGTGTATAGATAAAAATTAAAAATTAACAAAACCACCACCTATTGATCTTTAATTAATATTCGTCGTATATAACTTGTCAACTAACCTTATCAAGTCCATTTTCTCTAACTCATCTTGCTGGATGGAGTTCCCGATCTTCCACTGTTCTAAACAGATTGTATATCTGAAATCATAACAAACGTATCACAAGTGTAATTTGGATAATACTTTTCGAATAAATTGAATCTTTTTTTTTCCATAAAAAAAGTACTCACTTCCAAACCGCGTACTTAAAAATTTTAGCAATACTTGACATAATTTTAGTAATACATATTAACTTTTTTATTTACGTTTATATTTTATAAACACAAATAAACAAGAATTCTACAGTACTGGTAACATAAATCCACATGTCCACTCAAATTTTATTACCCAGTGAAGTTAAAGACGTCAATAACTGTATAAGCAGCCCATAAATGACACTGTATGAGCAGTAGGTAGAATCCCGATGCAGGGACGTATAACTCGAAACAAAGTATCATGATATTTTGCCACTTTGTAAATAATGTTTTGCGACTTTTTTTCCCTATTCGCTCAATTACAAACTCTATATTTTCACCGAAGGCTAATTGTAATCACTAACTGTGCTATTATATTGTGCCACTCAGCCCCTCATAATGACGTCATAAAATTTTAGTGGATACAAAAATTACGTTCTGAGTGTACATACGTAAATCTGCGTAATAAGCATAATTGTTTATCATTTTGTAATAATCTCAACATCTACAAGTCATTAATAAGATAATTTGAGATAATGAAATGACGATCGTGCATTTTAAATCCCCAATAGAAGGATTGCACCGAAATTCCGCGAAAACTAATTTTCTACTTCAATTGAGATGTTAAACTAAAGGTTTAAATTAAACTGTTCGACTGAAATTGTGAGATTGTGTGCAATTAATTATCCTCGGTTTAAATTAGTCAAACGTCAGTTTATGAAAATAAGCGGACCACGAAAAACTTGCTACAAATGCAGCTGTTGTAGAAAACTAAATTAAAGTTAAACTAAATTAAAGTGTTATTCAAAAATATTAGAATCGTGTAATATTCCATCACAAATAGTAACATCAACATCAGAAAAAACCGAATTACGTTCGCTATTCAGGAAACACTTATTTAAATTATCAAAGTTGTATAATTGTTACGTATTAATTATACAATTCTAGTGTGCAGTAAGCCAAAGTAAATAATAACCATTCCAGTGCTGATTGATTTTTAAACAAATAGAAGAATTTTTATATATGTACCAACGAAAATATAAAATTTCTGTACTCCAGTCTTTCTTAAATATGCTCGTAATTAAGTTGTCTATTCAAACATTTTTGGTTTTATTAGATGAACCTTGGACTAGTTTTCCGTAGTGCTATTTCCTCGTTGAATATTAAATTGCGACTACTTTAAGACGGTGAAATATTCTCTTGATTGCGATTATTATCGAGTTTGTTTAACTGATGTGATTTCAGGTTCGACAGGAGCATGTCGTTGCCTCTGCACTCGCCTTTGTCAACTCGAGACAACTCGTTCGACAGCGAGTCAGCCGAATCGACTGGAAGAAAAATGGATTTCGCTCTATGTAAGTGAATTTAGTCGAGTTAGACGTTTGTTGCATTTTCCTGAAATTTGCATTTTTGCGTGAAGGTAAGTGCTTAGTGTGAAAAGGAAAAATCAAACTTTGTGCATGCTCCCAGTATCATCTTGGTTTTTCGACATACCAAGTTTTTGATTTTTGCTTTTGAACGCTTTGGATGTTCGTTTAAAATTACATCTCTTAAATAAGAAACAATTTGAAATTTGACCGACAAACAAGAATAGTGCTCTTTTTATTTTATTTGCACTGACTGATGATTTTGATAGGCGAGATAGGGAGTGGACCGAGAAGCAGTAGTCCCCTGATTGATGTGGAGGCAGTGTCTGATGACGAAAGTGACATCCACAACAGTGCCGTAGGTCAGTGCAATGATGGTCTATCTTTGTTGTCTATCGGTGTTGTTTCACTGTTGTTTCATTAATGTTCTTGTTATTCTTAATTATAGTTGTCCGTATACTTACTAACGTCTTAGTTATAGTACTTCTGCACTAACTGTCCTAAACTTAACGTCCTACATTCAACAGTTGATGCTCAAAAAGGTCGTTACCTGTTGTAATAGTCGATAGAAACTATTTTCAAGCTAAGTTATCTCTACTAAAGAAAATTAAACTAATACATCATTAAAGTGCTTTGCTGCTTGCTTGCTGTTTTGCATGACTGTTTCTTTAAGTTGACACTGTTTATTTTCATTAAATCTACACCACTCACTTAGAGCTTACAAGAAATCGTGAAGTATAATCTAGATTTAAGTCCTGTACATAAAATGTCGCATTAATCATTGTAACTTTTTTTAATATTACGAGCTTAGAACACTACGATTTTTTTTCTTTGAACTATGTACTAATATAATGCCAACAAAGAAGTATAAATCAAAAAGACACGCATGCTAGAGTAGAAAACTGTGTACCGTGGAAATAAAAATAAAAACCATAGAATTTTGAAGTTTGAAAATGTTCTTTCGATATTGTTTGAAAGATTAATTTGGCCCCATACGATAAACCACAAAAATATCACAATTTTTGACAACTAAACATGAAAAACCACCTTATTTAGAACTAATAGGAAACTTTCACAACAGAATATTTTGAAAATTCTCTTAATAATTTGTTTTCCTTTTTGAAAAAATGGCTTTCGACCTCTTTAACACCGAGAACTTGTTTATTAATATTTCGGAGATATTTATAATTACATTTACACTTATTGTTGGAAGGCTATTTTTGTATCCATTAAAGTTGTAATATTCTGTGAAGTTTGTGATCGGACTCTAATGAAAGATGCTGTACACTGCTGATTTCTATCTAGGGAACAGCCGCAAAATGCATTTCTTACTAAATATGAGTTTTAGAAGCAGAAAAATTATAATAGACAAATGGTCTCTTGGCGTTTCATAGTCATAAAATACAAAGATGTATGTTTCCTCCTTCTACCCCTTTTCTGTTGTAAATTTACTAAGCAGAAAATCTCCGCAAGTATTTTTTTTAATTTGAAGTTATTTTAAAATTAACGAAGGTTGTAAAACTGTAAAACCAAAATTTGGCTATTCGTTCCCAAAACGGACACTCCACAACATTAACAAAATTGTATCCATTCTTTCCAAATCTATTAAAAAATATATACATATTGAGAAATTATAATTAAGGCGCTAATTATGGTTACTGTCAGGTTGTGTATATTAAATTGAAATATGCTTTTGATGACATCATCTCAGAGAATTGCTAAGTAAATACATTACAATTAAAATGTACACTTATCGTGCCTTCGATATTGATTGTACACTAGAAATTGTACACTAGAATTGCTAAGTAAATACATTACAATTAAAATGTACACTTATCGTGCCTTCGATATTGATTGTACACTAGAAATGAAGGGAAAACAGTTAATAACATAATAACAAGTTCAGAAAATTTTATAGGGACATAGAAAAAGATATATCCATTCATTTAACTAAGTATTAACTTTTTAACAGCCTGAGTGGTATTTAACCATTTATCATAATCTGTACACACCGATCACAAAAAATGTCATAGTGAAATGCGCTTCCATCTAGATTATACTTAAATGATTACTAGAAACTTCTCAAAGTAATATGCAGCCAGTGTTCGTGCTTTTTCTGTCACTTTGCCGTAGTTTGGTAACATAAAATAATCCTTATATTGCTTTAAATTTTCGGAGTTGGCTGATAGCTTGCCATAAAGGGTAAGTCAGGAAAAGACAATCCTTAGCGTTGACATTTCATACAATGTATTTAATCTTCGTGCAATTCGCATTCAAATAGCGTCTCGGTACGATTTATCAAATCGTCAAATCGTGATTCCGGGAAATTGAGGTCTAAACTAAACTAAAAAAGATTTCGATTATTTCTGCTTTCCTCCCTTACCCTCTGTACAAATATATAACACGATTTTCTCGAAATACATTCGTCTGGTTGTTACCTCCTAACCCAGACATATCAAAAACTGTAAAAAAAATCCACTCTCTGTAAAAATAAACAAAGGACGCTTTAATGTGAATCATTTTTTGGAACGCAGGGGAGCAAGACGCTCGAGTGTTGACCTTAGCCGAGCAAATCATCGCGGCGATTCCCGAAAGGATCAAGGTATACACGTCATACATTCTTTAAACTCGTAAAACCCCGTTTAACTTGTCATCTCCTTTTGTCCAGAACGAGAGCAGCGATGAGATGCTTTTGGACACGAGCCCCGGACCCCCGGACACTTTGCAGCCGAACGACACCCTCTCGGACGTTTTTATGGAGCCTCTGCTGGACCAATCGTCGTCGAGTTTCGAGTCCAACGAGTTCAACTTCGAGTTCTCGGACCACAACTATCGGTAAACACGTTTTCAATATTCTGACGAACAGCTCGAAAATTTGTTTGTGGCAGCTACTATGATGTGGGGACGCCTTGCTCGAGCCTAAGTCCGGCCTCGTCGAGTTGTTTACAGTCTCCTTGTTCCTTCACGCTCGACTCGCCGTCCCCGCCGCCCACCACGGCGGACTTTTGCGAGTTTTTCCAGGCTTCCGGAAGCGTCTTCGAAAAGGATTTCTCGAATCTGACACTCTCAGGTATGAGGTTTGTTTATTCCGGTTCATAAGCTTTATGAGAGGGGCTGGGAAATGAAAAAGAATCTTTTTGGCACAGCTATATAGAACAGCCGAACTTGCAAAATCTAAAAATAATATACTGAGTCCTAAAAATGCCATAAGGTAGAAGTCCGTTTTACCTACAGAGGAAGCTTGTGAAATATTAATGACTGATTCATCATTATCCTCCTTTCATTTCTTTACACTGCACTAACTATCAAGCATTACTTTTCATTTATAGCTTTTATTCATCTCCTTTGTACGCATCTTCCCCTGAAGGGCGTCCTAACTTTAACCCTTTTCCAAGGGCTATACCCAAAGTTGCCTGTAAATTATCCAACGGGGAACGTTTCTCAAGTTCCTTATTTATGTCTTGCTGTTTAAATTTGCCCATTTAGTTCATGTTAATAAATATTTTGTCGGCTAACTTGCTAACATAACCTATTCTTTATCACTTCAGCGTAATCGTAATTCTTAATCAACATTTAATGTTCGAATGTCGGATACCTTTTCATTAGAATTTATCGGTTGCTGTAGATTTGGACAATTGTAACTAAAATCGCGAATTCGGTGAAGGATTCCGTTCAATCATCTCCATAGCATTTACCTCTCAATGATATTTTTAAAAGTTCGGTACAACGCTCCAAAGAAATGATAGCGCAAGCTACGACGAAAACTTTTAACTAGTTTCATTAAATTAGTTTTGTCATTACAACAAACAATAAAATTTGTAGCTTGAACTTCGCAAATTCCCAAACGTTTATAATTTCTGACCATTCATTTGAATATTCTGCGGTTAAAAACACATATTTTTTAACTAAGATGAATTCATTTATTATACGACAAAAATTACAATCCTGTTGTGTTGACAGATCGCGAGCAGAGGGAGCTGTACGAGGCGGCGAAGATCATCCAGAAGGCCTACAGGTCGTACAAGGGGCGGCTCCAGCAGGAACAGGACAAGGAAAGGACAGCCGCCATAGTGATCCAAAACTATTACAGACGTTACAAGCAGTACGCGTATTACAAACAAATGACGCACGCTGCAATGGTGATACAGAACGGGTACCGGTCTTACTGCGAGCATAAACGTTTCAAGAAGAGCCAGGAAGCCGCCGTTTGCATCCAGAACTATTACCGTAACTACAAGGAGCAGGGGGGAAGGGGAAGCCGAGAGGGAACACCCGCTTCCGGGTTAAAGTAAGTTTTGTGAACTGGGATCTCGGGGATTCGTTTGCTAGTCTTGGTGTAAGGCTTTCTGTGGTGGTGGAATTTGGCATAAGATGTGTGTAATACGTAGCTAATATAATTGTGTGGTGACTGTTTGAAGCGACTTGTGTAGGTAGGGTCAGGTCGCACACGTTGGTTACGAGGGGAGGTCGGAAAGTGACGAAACCTGATTGCTAGGGCACACGAAGTAGACACTTATACAGGGTTTTTATAAATGATTCTAAGGGCGTAGTTGACCATTGATTTCTTAGTGCTTGCGAACGAAAATTTTATATTTGTGCTAAGAAGCGAAGACCATGAAAATGCTTTATTTTTGAGCAAGACACTTTCATTGTTGTGCCTTATTATCGCAATGGGACATTCGTAAACGGAACGTATGTGTATTCTGTAACCGCTTCTAAGCAAGAATATGTGGCCAAATACCCTGATTTGCAAATTCAAGAAACATCGTTAGAGGCTCACATTAGAGAGATGTAATCAACAGATTTGTTCGAACTGGCAGTGTCAATAAAGAGAAATCTCCTGGAAGACCTTCAGTATCTGACAAAGTTGTTGATGATTTGAGACAACGACTCGAGCAAAATCTGCAAACATTTTTGACAAGATTGTTTGAACAATCGAGAGTTCCTGTTGCAACATGAAATTAAACAATGGGTCCAAAGCACGGACGAAAAGATGTTACAGAACATTTTTGAAAATAAGAAAAAGAGAGTGAACATGTGCCTTGAACAAAATGGTGAACGCTTTCAACGTTTACAGTGATGTTTAACCACAATAAATTTGTATATTTTTATTAATAATAATTTATAAAATATTTTTAATTAATGACCAGCAGCCAATATTAAAAATAAAATTTAATAAAATACATATAAAGTGATACGCGGCACGCTTCCATGACCCTATAATCATTTATAGAAACCCTGTATCAGTACTTATTTCACGTCTCAGTGCATTTATACAGATATTTTTTGTTACTTTTGATTTTTTTTTTTTTTAGACAAGGTAGTACCTTATAAAGTGGAAGTTTTATACAAAATAGAATCGTGAATTTTTGTTGAACTGCAATTTGTATGAGTAAATACGCTAAAATTTCAATAATTAATTTTTGGTAAAAATCTAGGGTAAGAACTGAGCAATTTAAGAAGAAAAATATTTCAGATACACTGTTGTATTGTTAAAAACGTGAGTATAGCATCAGTCTCGTTATTTTCAGATCTCTCCTCGTATTAAAAGGAAAAAATCACTTCTAAGCTTTTGTGTTGTGATACAAATTTCTTAAAAATTTATCTCATTCTAAAATACAGACAGTCTAATGCAACATTGGTCCCATTATTACAACTTATGAACTTATGACAAATGAAGAAATATGCATTAACAGAATATAAATATACAGGGTGTTAATAAATGATTTACATCTAGAGGACGGTGAACACAACTCGACCAAAAAATGTTCATGTTTCAAAAAGTAGTTTTTTGACGGTAAAAGTTGAGTATTGCCATTCTCCACAAATCTCTTGGCCAGACCGAAAATAAGCTTCGATAATAAATGTATCTTCTTCTAAAGTCTACATTTGTCCGTTATCCTTGTGATGTAAAGAAATAAACGTTAAAAATTGATTCAAATGTTGACAACTAATTGACAGATTAGTTAATTTAACAAAAAGTCAAATGAATTTCATAGCCCACTAGATGTAAATATACTGACTAATATGGGAAGTGCAACACCAAAAAAAATTTTTTTTCAACTGATTTTTATACCACCTGTTGGTTTTCAACAGGTAAAGAAATAGTCCAAAATTCAGAAATATATTCTAACAACTAACAAGAATACGGTCAATAATGTATTGGCCGCCCTTGATGCTGAATACACTCATATACACGTCTGGGCATCAATAAAATTAAGTGGTCAATGTCTGCTTGGGGTAATTCGTTCCAAGCAGCTTGAATTTCCTGCTGAAGTCGAGCCAAAGTCTGTGGAGGGTTCTGCAAACTTGTTAATCGTCGGCCCATCATGTCCCACACATGTTCTATGGGGTTGAGATCGGGAGATCGAGATGGCCAAGGCAAAATGTCGACATCAGCATCTTCCAAGAACTGCATAGTTCTGTGGGCAATGTGAAGAAGAGCATTGTCCTGTTGAAAAAGGGCATTCTGAAGCTCCTCAATGTAGGGAAGTAAACCGGGCTCTAGGACGTCGTCAATGTAACGCGCTGCTGTCATATTGCCGCGAATAAAAATTAAGGGTGATCGTCTACCATAACCAATAGCCCCCCACACCATGACTCCCACAGTACGGTGTACGTGCCTTTCCACAACAAAGTCAATTTGGCGCCTTTCTCCACGACGTCTTCTTACCATTCTGCGACCATCGGACATTACCGAGATTCATCACTAAACACAACATGCTGCCATTCCGCCCTCCAGTGTTGACGTTCTCTACACCACTCCTGTCTTTCACAGCGATGTACAGCGATCAGAGGAAGCACTCACAATGGACGGTAAGAACGCATTCCAAAAGATGCGGCGATAAATGCTTCGCATTGAGACTGGTCCACCCTCTTCAGCTAACCACTGGTCTCCAATTTGTCGAGTAGTGGAGAATCGATCTCGTAAAGCCAATAGTCTTAAACGGCGGTCTTGGCGTTCTGTCGTCTGTTTTGATGGTCCAGCATGTCTTCTTCTTTAGCCCCTTCCTTCTTCAGTCCATGTTCGCCACACTCGCAACACTATTGAGGCATCCTAATTGACCTAACGGGCAATTTGCCTTCTCGCAACCCAATAATTCGACCTATAATAAAATCGCTTATCTGACGATATTCGCGAGCTCTTCTTCGTAGAGGCATTGTGCTCGACCACGACGTTCAGGTAAAGCGACAATGACAGCAAAAATGTAGCCAACTGGGACGTAAGGGGTGATTTTCGTACCAAAAAACCCATTACAGAGCCAACATTTTGATCATTTCTTTATCACTTGAAGGCCAACACGTGGTATAAAAATCAGTTGAAAAAAAATTTTTTTTTTTTTTGGTGTTGCACTTCCCATGTCAGTCAGTATAATTTATTAACACCCTGTAGTACAATATGGTCCAACAATTTTTCAGATAAAGAGAGGCTGTGACTAATAGACCTAAGCTACTCCTATTTCTTTCCAATACATTAGTTCTCTATCTATTATTCTCTACATGCGCTGATCACAGCCTCCCTTTATCTGAAACGTTTTGGATCACATAGTTGTTTTTTTTTTTATATAATCAGATTACGAAAATCCTTAGCTTTCGTTCCTTATTATTTCGGGACAAAATAATTCCATAATGTTGAAAGTCAGATACATACCGACCTACAAACGCAAACAAGTTAATAATCTATTATTGTACGCAATTATTACAAGCACCTTCCTTACAGACAAAACAGATCCACCCTTGTTCGTTGGCCATCAAGTTTCGACCCACGATGTGTAATTTATGGTGTTACGGATTATTGGCTTGGACTGTTTAACTTTTAGATTGTTAAATTTTATTAGTGTACAAAAATGTTTATTTTTCGAAATTCTTTTACTGCAAGTTTAAACCTTAAAGACAATGTTGTTCAAAACTATTATCAAAAAGTATTTGCATAATTCCGATGGTTTGAAAAATATTTCGTCACAGTTAACAACAAAATATGCAATGGAAATCTATCAAAAACGTTGCTTTATTATAATAAAATGTTATTAGATTTCGTTTTTTAAGTAGAACTACACGTTTGTATTTTTCCAAAATGTTCACATAAATTGTAATTATAATTGATCTAATATTTGAGACAAAATTTGTCAGTGTATAGTAACCGAGTCGAAATAGAAGGCACATTTTATTTCTCCAAAACAATAGTTCTAAATTAATAAGTAAAACATCTTGCAAAAAAAATCCTATACACAAGTTGTCTTTATTTTCAATAAAATGAAAATTCTACAAATACTTTGTGTCATTCACTTGCTCGGTTTACTGCAACGTCACATAGTATTTTTAAAGGACGAGAAAGTCTAAACAGGTTTTTCCGTTGCTTTGTGTTAAAGAGTGCTCAATCAGTATATTTTACAATTTGAAAGATGTTTATTAGGAAAATTACTTACAAAGCGGTTTTCTGTACCGGGGGAAACACCCTTAAGGTGATGTTATCGGTTTAGTTTTCAGCTAATTTACAGTAGATTTTGTTTCACAAATACTAGACAACTAGTTGGAATCTGAACCCATTTTTTTTTTTACAATATCTTTGATATGCTATAAGTGTCCGGAACTTATAAAATTGGAGAAAAAATGACCTGTTTTGCTCTAATAAAATCGCAAATATGCTCAAAATCACACTAATATGAGGTCTGTCTGTGCCGACCATAGTTATAAAATTCACATTAAAGTAAGTCATGGACATTCTTTGAAGTGTTTACTATGATATTTCAAAAAGAAAAAAAATTGTTCGATTTATAAAACTTCATAATTTTGATTTAAAACTGATCATGTTTGAAGCTTTATTTTATCCGTTCCATTTGCTGTCTCTTACTGCGGTCTCTCTCGGATCGGGGTATAACACCCACCGAACGTTCTTGGACCGATGGGATAATTTATTACTTCCGACATCTTTTCGGTGACAAATTTAATCTTTGCATAAATTTACTTCAGTGTAGTTAGTGAACTCGTTATGACCATTGAAATATATAAAGAGTAAATTTTGAAATGGGACGAAAGTCGAAGATACCTTTTTGAAAGCCTCGAAAAAGTCGAATAACCTTTTATCAGAATTATTATGTCAAAAACCTACTAAAACTACAGACAAAAAATGCAGTTTAATCATCATTTGATTAGTTTTACTATTATTATGCTTTTATTTCCTAATTTCTGTACATATAAATATTATTGTTTTTTAGACCCGCCGCTGTGTACTTACATAAAGTGTAAGTCAATGTTACTAATAGAAATTATTATTATTGTTACTTCATATAATCACCAATCCTATTGCGTCTCGGCTTTTTGTCAAAGATCAAAGTGTATTACCTGAAAGAATTTTATTTTGTTGAATAAAAGATTACCATAAACCTTATAATTAGCCGGATAACCATTCAGTATACACAGGTAGTTTCTATACCTCTTTAGTTTGAACTTAGCCGATACTAACTAGATAGGGAACCAGTTATAATTGAAATATGTAAACCAAATAATTGAAGTACTTAGTTTTAAGTAAAACAATTGGGTATATTTATAAATACGCATAAATAAAAACGAAACAAATTATTGGTCTCTAGTTTATTTTATAATTTGCATTACATCATGACATATAGGTAGGTACTGATGCAGAAATTGGTGATTTTCTCATTGCATTTCAGTATAGGGACACACTCAGTAGAACCATTTGGACACTTAAAATTGAGGGGACTGGCTAGACGAGGTATAACATTTTTTTGTTTTTTTGTATGAAAAAATTATATTAATATAGATGTATCATACATCAAACTGCAGCTTTTTTCATATTCTAGACCGCAGAGATCAGTTCAATCGATTAAAAAAATATGGCTGAGAGATATCGTAAAAAAAGGACCATTGTATGTTTTCTTTTCAAGTTTTTTGAGTCATAACCATCATAGAATCGCTTGAAAATTCTCACATTGACAAAGCATTACTTTTTACAGGCTGCAGAGTCATTAAATGTTTGTTAGTGGTACAATTTATTTAAATAATAATGTATTTATTAAAATCAAAAAATTTACCACAAATTAATGCAAGATACGTCGAATAATTTTAACAGGAATATCAGAGGAAAATTAATGATATATTGCTTAGCAGAGTTTTTAACAAAAACTAACAACTATTGAAAAAAATGGGTATCAATCTCAGATCATATAATATTACATTACATGATCTAAGGTATCAATTCGACAGAATTTGAGCCGTTAGTTCAGGACTCTGCCGATAGGAGCGCCACTAAAATTTACGGAAGCGACTTTCCAGGAAAAACCCATTTTTTTCAATAATTGTTAGTTTCTGTTAAAAACTCTGCTAAGCAATATATCATTAATTTTCCTCTGATATTCCTGTTAAAATTATTCGACGTATTTTGCATTAATTTGTGGTATATTTTGGTTTTAATAAATAAATTGTACCACTAACAAACATTTAATGACTCTGCGGCCTGTAAAAAGTGATGCTTTGTCAATGGGAGAATTTTCAAGCGATTCTACGATGGTTATGACTCAAAGAACTTGAAAAGAAAACGTACAATGTTGCTTTTTTTTACGATATTTCTCAGCCATGTTTTTTTAATTGATTGAACTGATCTCTGCGGTCTAGAATAAGAAAAAAGCTGCAGTTTGATGTATGATACATCTATATTAATATCATTTTTTCATACAAAAAAAAACAAAAAAATGTTATACCTCGTCTAGCCAGTCCCCTTAAGAGGGGTAAATATTTATTTAATATGAAAGCAAGATTAAATGTTGTATTAATCTAAACGTTCACGTTGTTGCATACGAAATACATACTGCCGCTAATAATAATGTGTGCAAGTTTTACAAAAATACTAAAATAGATTTCTGGAAAACTCTTGTTCCGTGGACCTCGAGTCTAGATTTTGTCTTGAATATATCGATCCTGGAATTTATTTAGCAATTAAAAACAGTTATTTAAAATCATTGTAATAGCAATTTATTTCTGCTATATGTGGTTCGAAATAACATTAAATATCACCAAAGAAAGGGTAGCTTCTGTATACTTGAATAATAACTATTTAAAAAGCTTTTGTCAAAAACTTGTCTATTAACGTAGAAGATAAAATTTTAGTTTTAGAGATTATAAGTAGATTTATTATACAAAGTGAGTTAGTAAGCTCGCTTTCCATAATCTCTCACTAAATGTTAGAAATAGAAAAAAATATACAACCAAAATTGCATTTTATTTTTTTCAATATGTAACATAAAACTTATTTTTTTTATGAAACACCTCTTATATGTATTATCGTTAAAGTACGGCAAGCGACAAATGCAAATGACTCCAATTATGAGTATTATCGCTGTAAAATCTTCAGTCGCTTTCGAAGCTGTACCCTGTGTAAAGCTGTCAATCAAAATTAGTCGCTTCCCTTGTAGTACCTTTCCAGGACCATATTTGTTCTCTAGTAAATGGATTCCTAATGCGTAATAGTTTTATTGCAGGGTGCGGTCTAAAGTACTAAATCCTCTCATAAAATAATTTGCATTTATATTTTTTTACAATACATGTCGTGATGATATCGCCTTTTCTGAGACTTTACAAGCATATATTAATTTTGAAATTTCAATCTGACGTCGAAAAGTTATTCCAATTCTTTTGATTTTTTATAACAGGGCATAGGTTTACAACAAAAGCGTAATATGTATTACATTAATTATTGTAAGCGCTGTTGTAGTACCAATATTATTGAGCTTTAATGCAGAGGATAAACAACTTTGAAATAGTGTGATTTTTAAAATAGTCGGATTAAATTGTTACAATTTAATTGGTCATTCATATTTTTGCGTTATTGCAGTTAAACACACAGATTTGTAATGACGATAATGATGACGAAATACCGCAAATAAGCTGATACAGTCCATTCCAGAGAGTTAAATGAAAACAGTGTATAAATTAAATCAGTGATTCCAGTCGTTTTTTTTTTAAGCAACAGTTCATTTGAATTCAATATACTTCTTACAATATATGAAAAATACTTGTTATTAATTTAAACACACATTTGTACATAGCTTAAAGCTTACTAATCACAGATAATTTTTCAATATTAATAAAAACATATAATACATGCAGAAAAAATGGTATAACCATCTGGCGAAAACACAGAATTTAATACCTGTGTAGACTAAAACATGATACTTTGCAAAATCAGAACTGGAAATCCAAGACTTGATATTTTTGCATTTCTCGCTCCTCATTTGTTGCGTTAGAACGACACCAGTGTTAAAATTACCATCGCCAGCTGTGCTCTAACCGACCAAAGACACTCTTACACCCTACAAGGTTAGCAAACTTATCCACAAACCTACACTGCCCTGCCTGCTTCGATGTAGTTGCCATGTGGACGTTGTGTGGTAGTTCTTGATGTCATAACAATCATGTCTTCCTGTTGCACTAACGGACGATGTCTCGTTTTTTTATAAATCTGTAAACTTTTGTTTTACTTTGTAGACGTACATATTCGCAAAGGCGTCAACACCAAGCCGCTAGGAAGATCCAGCAATTCATGAGGCAGTCGAAAAACAAGTAAGTTAATTTTCGTTAAGTCGTAACCTTTAGATGCGTTAAACGAGTGCTTTTCAATGCTTGCATAGTATTTGGGATGAGAATATGGGAAGTGTGGTAAGTCGCACTATTCAGCCGGGGAATGGTTTCGGCGATCGAGTTGTTTATGACAAATTTATTGTTGCAGGTTACAGAGAGAACGAGCCGAAAGAGAGAAGCAGGGGGGCCCGTCAGCGGATGCCCATCAAAAGTCACCGTCTCAAGGGGGCTCCTCCACTTGCATAGGCCCAAATAACAGGTCCGTACTGCCGTGGACTAGAAAGAATTGAAATTTGACAAGAACGACACGATTGTCAAATTTCGAAGATGCGGGTGTGTTTAGCGTGTTTGGTTTCTTGCTAGCGATCGAAGCGAGGATTGCAGTGAGAATGTAGGTTTGTGTTTTGTTGCAGATCAGGTAGTACCAACTTTATAGAAGACCAAAGAAATATCAGTGAGAAAAAATGAAGATGGTTCAAGACAGGCTTTGAGTACTTAGCTTAACAGACATCTAAATAACGCATCTAACAGATTTCTAAGTAGTCGTGAGTCTTGATAATCAATCAATCTCTTAAAAGAATTAATTTGTAAATTAACTGCAAAAGTAGTCGTTATCCTATAATTATACTCTGATATGTACTTATATCTTTACAATGTCTATTTTTGGCTGTTATTTGGTAATTTTCATGCATTTAAAACGAATGCAAGGATCGACAACAAAAGTGAGATGATTTTAGACGTTGTACGAAATTTTATTATTCTGATTATGGATTCAAAGCTGTGATTGTAGTTTGGTTACACATTTTTCAAGGTAAACAATCCGCCATTGTGCAGAACAATCATGATACTTGAACATTTGATGAGTTTCTTTCATTTCATATTACCTTGAAAAACTGTTTTGCCGAAAATAGAAAATTCTAGTCCTAGTGTAGTTAATAGTCTTATTTATATCACCTTTGAAATGTAAACAGTTTTCATTTGTTATACCAGTGGATGTTTTTGTACTTAAACTCGGACTTTGACTAATTTCTTAACTATTTTCACTGCCACAGTAGCGTAGTTTCTTACAGATTAGTTGCAGATTATTAAACCAAAAATTCAGAGTCGATAAAGCAATACACAAACTATTAAGTTATTCCAAGAGTAGTACTTAAGAGTTAAACTCTAAAAAAAAGAAAATAAGTTCTGTAAAGCTCATACATATCATTCTAGTGTTTAATACGTAACTATTATTGTAAATGAACCTGCTGTACAATGAAGGATTTTCTAGAAAACGCTGTAAATAAATAGTTCTGTTTGTGTATTGCATACGAAATAATATATTGGTGCTCAAGTATATGTATGCACAAATTCATTTCAATTACTTTTCTTTAGTCAATTAAGGTGAGGGAGCTTTTAATTCGACATTCAAGTACCTGCAGGCAGGATTAAGTTGTATAATAAAGATGTAAAGAAAATCCCTCCTCTGTAAATAGCTGTTGTTTGTTTTTGAAATTTTATCGTTTCAAAGCTGAATATATATTTCTTCTACAACATGAAAAAAACAAAAAACAGTACATAAGTATTATGTAAATTTTAATGTTGATATTTATACATAAAGAGGCTTACAATTTTTAATCTTATTGCATCTTTAGATGATTATATATGTAGTTTTGCAATTTGAACCGTAGGTAGAAATATTTTAGACGATATCAGATTTTCAAAAAAAAAAAGTAAAAATATTTTTTAATCAAATATCTTGTCCAGAATGATTGGTTTTCGTATGGACGTGCGCATGATCACATGTAGAAATATTGCTTTAGCTTCTTACTTTACTTTCTTTTTTGTTCAAGGATGTAAGACAAGTGCAGGCCTAAGATTCAGTTCCAAATTTCGTTGAACACTAAATACAATCAAAAATCCAAACAATCTTTAGTAATAATAGTGGCGTGTTTGGGGAATAACTGAAAGGCTGACTAACTGTACATATTTTTATTGGGTGGTCATTCGCTGGATCTTTAAATTTTGTAAAAGATTTAAAGTGAAAAAAATACATAACAACACCAAAAAATATCGAAAATTGTAAATTTGTATTTTAAATCAGTATCTATATAGGGATAAAGTTTTATTGACTATTTAAATTAAATTTTATATCTATGAGACATTACATTACCTACAAAGTGTATTTAATATACTGTAGAGAGTGAGTTTAATTTAGCCAAAATTACATTAAGTTCTATTTATTGGACATTTAAGCTTTAAACCTCCTACTTAAATACAGTTTAAAAATCTGTAGTATTTATTGAGTAGATAATTTTTGACTATTATTCTTAGGCAGAGTGCTGGTTATTTTCGATGATATGTTGTGTATAAAACGATGATGCAAGGAAAATAATCAGTATTCGGATAGTTGTAGCTGCACAGTACCTATATCTATATTTACTTGTTCATAATCCATTTAGGAATTTCAAATTGTTATATACACACTTCAATACACATGTATATTTGTGACGATATACATGTCTCACTGTATTTTACAATGGTTACTGCACTCAAAATGGTTACTGTCCTGCGTTATTCTATCCTCTTCTATTTTTAACTAGGTTAAGGTTGTTGTTACTTTATATTGGCTCTTGTCATTCCATTTCATTAGTGACGTTGTTCAAATTTCATATTTTGATACTATATGTATTTTATAATATTGATTGTATTGTTTCAAATTTTAGTATCTTCATAGTTTACTTGTTACTTTTTCGATCGTTTATTAGAGTGCAGTTGTTCAACTATTGTTACATATTATTGTGACTAATAAACACTTTTCTGAATTACACAGTCTCATTCAATTTCCATGCTCCCAGTGGTCTTGCGTATTTACTAAAGATTACAACCATATCGCGTCTTCAAATATAAATAAGTCTGATAAATCTAGAAACCTTTCAACTTACACAGTTTATCTCGAAATGTCGAGATAAAAGTTTATCAGCGAGCAAAAGTCATAGTTCTTGTGAACTCACCAAATTAACCTTATTATACTTAACATTATCAAAAGAACTGCCTAATTATATTTGGAATATAACTTGATCTATAAACAATTATGAAACCGTAAAAGTTAACTTTTGTAATAGCTTGTATTTTAATTAATTGAACTGGATTTTTACATGTCATAAATTTATCGAGGAACGTGCACCAAATAAACCATTCGAGCATGACTTGGTCGACGATTAGTTGCAGCAACAATGCAAGATCTACGGCATCAACAGATGTTGCTTTTAAAATAATGATCCACAATTCATTAAAAATTTTTCCTTTCAAAAGAAATGACAAATTTGAAAAATAGACCATGAGAAAAACGACTTGTCTACACTCTGGTGTGTCGCCAAAGCATACCAACAAAACCTTGCTTAATTTATCTGACCGGAAGTACATAAATAGTTGCTATTTTTATTATTAACACAGATGAATATATTTTTTATTTTCGAAATTAGAACCGGTATTAGTAACACATATCTCGCGTGCTTCGCTTAAGAATTTTGTTTATTTTTATAACGCGAAAAGTGTAGACGACACATTCGACAAAAATATTTGCGGCGGCCGCAATCTCCAAATTTTTCTAAAGGCTACGTAAATGCTTTTCGTAGTGGCAATAACCTACTTCTAGGAAAAAAAAAAGGATTTGTTTAACGAAGCTTGAAATGTAATGAATAGAATGCGTTGTTAAAGGTGTAAAGACAACCTTGATGAATTTTTATAGTATTAAGAGAGCATATTACTCTGTAACATTTTAATAAGTTATTTTAACGGTACAGTAACCCCTTGTATCTTGCAGCCAGTGTGCAATTTGCATCTGTTTAAAGAATTTTTACATCACGCGGAATATTTTATACGTTGCAATCGCAAATATTTGGAATTATTTATTTATCTCGTTTTATTTTAAATTACGATAACAGCTTTATTATTTGGTTTTGTACAACCATATCTAATAATTTCAGTGTTATCAGATATGGCTACATTGTGAATAATAGAATAGTGGCAAAAATAAAAAGAGGAAATAAAAATAAAGCGTGCCGCACGCACCCTCATAATAATTCTTTTATGAGGGCGCCATCGAAAAAAATGCGTTTTATGTTTGCGACAGTTTACGGAAATAAATTTAGCCAAATACCAATGCAACAACCACGACAGGGAAAATGAAATAAGGGTCGTAGGAAAGTTGCGAGCAAGCGTTATACAGGTGTCCTTAAATGTGGACACAAATTCGCTAAAAAAAATCGACAGTGAGACCTGAAAGAGGGTAAGTTTTTCACTCTAGATTAATTAATAAGTCAATTTTTTTAAACGTCAATCATTGTAGATTCAAGAAATTGGTTAAAAAACTTCAGAAGTGATATTTTTCATGCTTATACTTGTGTTTTATCAAAGATGCCATCAAATTTTGGCCCGAAATCGTATTTTGGTTAAATTTTATGAGTTCTGAAGTATGTTACGACTTATTTTGATGATTGTGATCGACATGACGTACTTGCGATATACAGAATCGACTGTTTTTGCGAAAGGGATACGATTATGTTAATTTTACATATTTTGGCAATTGTAGATCCAAGAACTTCGTTAAAAAACTTTAAAAATTATACTTTTCAAGCTTTATCATATATTTTCTAGTGTTTTCGGCACCCAATGGGCCCAGCAGTGATATTTAAGCCAAATACATATTAAAAAACATGTAAAATGGTCATTTTTGTATGTATGATTTTTTTTAAATCTACCCGCTCTCATGCTACTACTAGATTAGTTCGAGAATTTTCCACAAGTACCAGGAAAGCTTACGACGGACACTGAGAGTAGTTTGGGTTGCTAGCGGCTGGCAAAATTTCTGAACCAAAAAAAATATCTCGAATGAAAACAAATTTCTCGTTTTTGTTCAACGCATTTAGTAGTTGACTCATGGTTAAGAAATCCAAGTCTGTGAAAATTTCAACACTGTCAACAATTACTCGGCTTAACTTTCATATCAAGACGGACCTATTTCTGAAGTTTCGTTATTCGTTATCTCTGAAATTATGAGTCCTACAAGCATTTATCGACAGAGTTTTTTGTCTAGACTTAATGGGTTTGCAAACTAGGCTATATGGGTTGATTTATATGTGCAAAAATTTCTGACTAAAATATCGGTTTTTCCATTTTTCGCAACTCGTTTCTGAAATACTAACAAGAATGTTGCGCTGGCAACAGGAAGAATTTTTGTGTTTTTTTTCCACATTTCGGAAAAGTTCCAAGGTCGATGATACCACTCGGCTAATACTTAAAACATTCGTATACATTTTTAAATGACTAAATTTTAATTTTACAAAGAAGTACTTTTGATGATTATTTTACGTTAAAACCCGCCTCAAAGTACTCTGCTAGATAAACAAAAGGGCTGAAAACTCCACATTAAACGTCACATCGTCCTGGAAAATAATTTTATTTTCGCGAGGCCGCACCCTAACAAGGCGTTACCACATCGATCTGCAGGGTGTGGTGGAACAACCCTCGAAACACCCCTGCTGGTATTTAGAATACCCTATAATCATGTCGTGTTAACAAATAACATATCTTTCATCTCCTATTGACAATAAAGGGTATTTCCAGTTTTAAAATTGGAAATTGATTGTTGTGATAAACACTTGCGGCCTGGATTTATCGAAAAAAAGGAAATTTTATAATCGAAGACTCACAGGGGCTCTTAAAACTAACTGGCTGTCTGGCGAAGCGTGAACAAATGTAAACCGCAAAATGTACTGGGAGGTATACGACACACGTCCACCACGTAAAACAAATACGATAAAAGTCGCATTATAACGTTAATAACACTTATTGTAATGACTTTATATAGCTTCATAAAATTTAAAAGGGGTGTTACCGTTAAGTAGGAGAAAAATTCTATCACATATGTTGAAAACACACATATTAAAACTTAATTGCGTTTATTACACACAGATGATGGTGATTTTTCTTTTAATGTTTTATTTCTGAAGAAATTTTATAAATAGCACTAACGATTTATGTTCACATTATCTTTTCAGTAATGACGTTTGAAGACAGAAATTTGACTAAAATAACAAATGCTCTTATGTTGAGTGAACATAAAAAATATGTTTGATGTTATGAAATTCTTAATTCTAAATAAGAAATTATTAAAACAATCATTTTAGATAATAATAATATTTTTCTCAGGGTTCTATGACGAAATTTGGGAATGAGGTCATACAAAATAATTACGAATTTTTTATCTGATGCCCCAAAATTTTAAGCAGTTATGCCTAGATTTAAATTCGTTCTTAAAATTTTATTTAAAAGAAGTAAACTTAGTATATATTGAAAAATATGGATAATTTCGCCCACAAAACTTTAAAATATTGACTTTTGGAACGGCATTTTCTGTTTTATCAAATATGATTCTTTTTTAAGGCTACACTGTAAATATTATTTTAGCAAAACTCGACAACTTTTGTTTTGTAAACTGTTTATATATAAATATTTGTATTCAAAACCTATTATTCTGTCAAGGTTTCAGAAAATAATCAAATAATTTTGTAAAATATATAAACAGTAAAATCCACAAACATATTTTAATCTGATACAATATTTACAAGATTCTTCTGGTTTATCAATAAAATTATTTTTACGACGATCTTGAACATGATGTTTTTTCCAATATACTTATTTGCAAGTTAATATATTTCCTTTACATGAAACAAATTGGCATAATTGCAACATTTAAACGACCGATTTTAAAAAGAGTCTCTAAGTGATTGTTTTGCTATGCATGTGAAGTTTCTTCCATACAAACACCAACTACGTGACTTAAATTTATTCAAACGTTTTGTCAGTACGTAGGCAACATTCTCAATGTTTTAAAAAAGGTGTAGAGGTGGCCGGCGAACGAAACCACCATTGCCTTCCTCATTTCTTGATCGATCAAAATCAAACACTCTCGACAAGATTAAATATTCTAACACAACGAAACATATCCCGCTTTCTTGTCGTCAAAAAATCATCCAAAGATTTTAAGTGTCATTTGTTTACATAGGTATTTAAATTAATAACATTCTTTTTGGCTTTACAGCGCTGGCGCCGCGTAATTAATTTGAAAATTTACGTATCCAAAAAAATATATTTTTGTGTTCAAGAGCCAGTTTTAAATTAAAATTAAGCCACCATAATAATACGAACACTCATGTAAACAAAAATATGAATAACAATAACAATTAAAACGATAATTTTGTACTTACAGTAATAAATGTTACAATCAAAAACACCAACATCAATTTAACATTTCAAAACTATCTAAACAAATTCAATAATCTTTAGGGTAAAGCATATATCGCTTCTCTAATTCTATTTAGTTTCAAAAAATAAAACAAAAGTAAATAAAAATTTGTATTGTTTTCAGAAAATGGAATGCAATATTTAATCGGGACTTTCGGAATTTGTTGCAACATAAATACAAGCCGACGAAGGACATGATTGTCATTTTCGATTAATGACCGTACAAATTAATTTGAATGATATTTTGTAGAAAGAATTAAAACAGGTGTTATATTCTGATTAAAGTCTAAAAAAATAGCTTGTTAATAACAATTAATTGACAGTTGTCATGTATACGTAACCAGAAAAATAGCCAATTATAGAGAGTCGACAATAACAATTAGAACTGCTTAACATTTTTTAAAATCTGTGTTGAAAAAAGGAGCATCGGTAGACAACATAAATCGATTCTGGTAATTTTCCTTTGCTCTTGTAAAAAGTTTATGGAACAAGGTAAG